TACGCAGCAATCTAGTACATTGAGCTTGTTTGCGAAGATGTAACCTTTTGTTGTCGAGCCCTGAAGTGACAGCAGATTGCGAAATCCAGAGGCAGGATCGGGAGCCCAACCTCATGCTTTTTCGATTCTGATGCGGTGTTAGTGGCGTGTGACTACCGAGTTTATGCTAAGCGAGGCCTTTGCGCCTTCACCGTCGAGAGAAAAGACGCCGCCATTGACCTGAGGTGCTCTTCCACCAGATGCCATGGGGAGGTTTTATGCAAGCCGCAAGAAACTAGTGCGAGTGTGACCCTTCTGCAGGTCGTGGCCGGGGGCAAAGGCAAAGGAGACAGAGATCAAGACCGCCCGGCCACCATCAAGAGTCTAAAATATGACAGGGGGGTCTAATTCGTCGAGCATCGTCATAGAGTCGCCCCTCAGCGGTTGACCGGTCTACTTTGTTCAAAATCAGTTGTCGTCATTTGAGCGTCGTGCCAAAAGCGTTCAAGGTGTTGCTCGATTCCACCAAAAAGGGAAACATCCATGGTCTACGAGGATGGACAAAGTCGTGACACCTCGAGGTGCTCTGGAAATTGAGTCTCGTTGGAAAAGAGACTGAGTGGGAGAGAAAATAAGACGATGGCGGACAAGGTGGACTGACCTACCCTGTAAGCCTCTCTTGGGGAATACTTTGCACAATTCGGTTCGACTTGCGCGAATCAAGGCTACGACGATGAAACCTCGTGACGTGACCACGCTCTACGGAGTACATACAGATGCCGGTGTGTGTGTGCGAGAAAAACGTCAGTGCTGCAGGACTGCGTTACAACAATGAAGTCGAACAATTGACAATAGGCTACTTTTGGAGGTGTGGGTGGCACAACCTGGGTAGGACAGCGTTGAAACGGCAAGGGAGAGCAGAATAGAGCAAAAGAGTGTGGTGGCATCGGTCTGAGATCAGGCGTACATAACGTTTCGACCAGCTTCTCCGTCCCTCCCCGCAAGGCGGCTCGGAATTCGGTATTCGAGATGCAGGTAAGTGGTGAAGAGCAATATATTCTTGCTACTTTGTAGTAAAAAAGGCGCAACGGAGAAAGAAAAAAACAATACTCTTTGCAGATTCGATCAGGTTGAAGAAATTTTCTCTTAGCTGCATGAGCGGTGGATATACCGAGGATATAGCGAGCACAATAGTTTAGTGGGCGCCGACAGATATCGCGGAATTCACGTTCCAGGTTTCGGGCTCCACGACACTAGGTATCACCGACGACCCCATTTTCAAGATCGCCGTCTGAGTTTTTCGCGAAAAATCCAACCAGATAAACTAAGATTGACGCGAATTTAGTTAAAACAGGATCCGGGGTCTCGTCGCGCTCGAGGACTCCGACCCGACTACACCGAGGTGGAGGAGAAATAAAAGAAGAAAAAAATAAGCCGCGGTACGACCCGTGAGGAAAACGGCGCGAGAGGGTATCGGGAATATTTGACTTTTGATGAGGATGGTTTGATGCCGTGTTTAAATGGCCTGTGCCAATTACGGAGTGCTACGAGATGCCGAGTGTCCGCGTTGAAGAGTTGTGCGACTTTGTAATGACGGCCAGGGGACACAGTACGAGTCTACGACAATGAAGTAAACTAAGATGATGAATCTTAGTTAAAAAGAAAAAAAGAAAAAGGAAAAATAGAAGAAAAGGGGACCAGGATGTGCGGAAATGAAAACAAGTCCTTTTTTTCTGAGGGAGAAAAAAAGAAACGAAAAAAAAATCCCCGAATGTTTGCATTCATCCATCGATTTCCCTTGGCCGAGGAGACACGAGAAACCCGGGGCTTCGCCGTGCTTCGCTGGCTTTCGGCTGCCACCTCGTCACTCACCTCCTGCCAGCTCTTCGTGCATCATCAAATCTTTTCCTATTCCGATTGAGAGTAGCGTGCTCGACTGCCGGTTGCAGCGTCGCCGATGCAAGCTTGTGACCAGCGTTACCACCCAATATCCAGCAAATCCAAGTCACAAGCCAACCTGGCTCTTCCCGCCCTCACTGGGGACAATGGGCGGTAACGGGAGGAAAAACGACCATTTACCCAATACGCGTATGGTGAGAAACGGGTTCTGTCAAAGCTTTTTTCCAACTAATAAAGTACGCACGCGACAGAGTCAAGGGTCCCCCCGGCGATCGTGTCCACCGCTAATTACACTTTCGTTCCGTGCGGGTTCGGTGTTTTTCGCGACGCCGGCGATGGGTTTTTTTCTTTTTCTGCACTTTCTGCGTGTCATTACCGTCGCTACTTCTCTCTGGAAATGACTTAGTGCCTGTTTATATACTTGGTATAGGTAGCACTCGGCACAGGAATTTGATCCTCTCAGCAAGATTACAGCAGCAGTGTTGAGTGCTCTGTAATACAGTCTAGGGCTGGGGTGGTGGTCTTGGCGCTAACATTCATCGTGCATCCGTGACATCCGGACACCGAATTGGTACATCTACCTCCTCTTGCTCGGAGATTTGACCACTGAACTTGTACCGTCACTCCCAACACTCAAGCGAGGCTCGTTTCGCCAAGCCGCCTCGCAAATCTTTGACAACCCATAAGATTTGAGGCATCCAGAGATGCCAAGATGGTGCCTGTAATCTCATCCGAACCTTTTGTCCACTTGGGGCTGTCAACCAAGCCAATTGGGGTCCTTTCTCTGCTGGGTTTCTGGTTGACATAGTAATAGTGGACCCCAGGCCTCGGTCATTTTCTTGGTAAATGAGGAAGAGGCGCCCATCACGGAAGGCTGAGAAGATCAATGGGTCCCTAATTTGGTCATTTTGTGGTGTTCTTGCCCCAGATCTTCATTGTTTCATCTCCTTTGTCGGCTGGGCAGTTCCTGTTCCTGTTACTGTTCCTATTCCTCACCCACCTTTGAAGGATTTGCTTATTGGTCAAGGGTTGTTTCTTTAGGACCGCTGAAAAATCGTTTTTTCCCCTTGAGAAGAACGAAGAAAACACCAATATGAAGGGTCCTGGCTGATTGATGAGCGTCACTGTCTGACTTCTGGTCAACAAAGTGAGCATCACTAGTGTCGCTTTCGCCAAGAACAAGAGCAATCAGCAATAAGCAACATCACGTCACTGCTTCCTCCAAACTGCCACCGTCAAATACGCTAGCGTCCCTCGTAGCTTTATCTTAGGCACCAGCATTGTACCCTCCTAACAGGCCCAAGCTCCGTCGTCCCGGTGAAATTGTTAGCAAGGTTCCGCTGCGCTGTGAGCTGGGCTGCCTCATTGCCTATTCAAGCTAAGCGCCCTGCTCCCACATGCCGGGGTCACTGCTAGTCTCCCTTTCAAATCCACTGTAACGCTGTAACGCCGACTCCTGGGAGCAATGACCAAGAATCCCGAAGCTTCCGCTCGTCATCAGTCTCTGCCCAATGGATTCCAGATTTTCGAACGCTTTTTGCCCCAGGGTTGCTTTGCGCGATGCGGCCCAACCAGTTAGACAACGGAATTAAGGATCGTGTGTCGATTGCATGGCTTCATTGTTGTCTGGGGTTGAAGACCTTTCGATGTAAGCACAGTTTCTGTATGCACTCGGCTTGGTAATCTGGAAAGCGCAACATCCAACTCCTTTTTGCTCTGGTGAGACAAGGCGAGGCGGAGGCGGGATTGAGAGGGAAATCCTAAAAGTCGTCGGCGATGCGAGGAATGCGAAAAAGCGTGCGACCGAATCCACTTCGCTAATTAGAGCCAAATCTGTAACCTGTATGCATTGAGGGACGAATTGATGGACCCAGAGCAATGCCAAGAAGCTCAATCTTGATGCAGCGCCAGAAAAGACCTGCAGTGAGATACTTCAAGACTTCGGAGTTAGCTCATAATATCACCCTCAGTACCACTTCGGATTTCAATGTCAGAGATCGCTGCAGGGTGACCGGTCGGCGCTTGCTCCCCGTTCCCCGTGCAGGCCAGTTTTGATCGTCAGTTCCTCAAGCCAGCCCGGCCCAGTCCAGCCCAGCGCTGCGTGGTGGTAGTGAGATCAAATCTCCAAACAATTCACGTATTTCGTATCCTTCGCACTTCGTACCGTGGCACGGTACCTCAGTCAAGTACGACCCCAGCCCAGTCCAGCCCATCCCAACCCCGGCCCCGGTCGCGGGTTCCAGTGGATGGACCGAGTTACAAATGGAGTGTACTTCGGAGAGTACAAATTGTACTTCGTACCTTCCCACTGACTTTTTACCTTGTCCCCACCATCGTCACGGGTCTGGGTCCCTTCAATGTTCCTTCCCTTCATTGTCATTGAATCATTTTCTTCCGTCCCGTTCCTGTTCCCACACCTCCGAATTGCATTTGTTCTTATTCCTCCCCTCCCCCCTTCTTGTGCCGGAGGTAGTCGATTCTTCATCTGTCTCGATTCCTGATCCTTTTCGACCACCACCTTTATTTCTCAACATCTCAACCAACGGCAACGAGAAAGAGTGAGAGAGAGTTCCAATCCGCTCCACACCCAGATCCTCTCTCCCTCTTCCTCTTGCCTACTGTAACAACCCCGGATCCCGGCCCAGCCAGAGTTTTGCGACCGACCTTCCATGGCCTTGGCGACAATTGTTTCTCGCGACTATTCTCTGCGCACAACAAGAATATCCGCTCCTCTATCGCATTTGTAGACCGGACTGTCCAAGATAGCCACGATCGCCTCTTGTCGCTCGCGTGCTCGTTCTGCGCCTAGCGATTCTGAGCCTCCTGGTTCCGCTCTTACCGACCAAGACCTATAAGCTTAAGCTCAACCTAAACGAGGTGCTCTCAACACAACAACTCGAGAGAAAAGAACAGAGACATGAATCGAAAATAATACTACAATACCGTACCAACAAATAACAACAGCACCCAACACATTTCTGCTGTTCCGAATACATCTCCCTCCCATACGTATTTGGCGAACGAAGACTGTCTTCAATATTGTACCTAGACTGCGACCTCGATCCCACGAATTATCCAATTCCTTGATATCGCACGACATAAACCCTCTCGCCGCCTCAAAAATGCAGGACGTAGCGTCATTATTTTCGAAGCCGAAGCTTCTACCTTTCACCGTCCCCGGCACCCTCAACCTCGCCAAGTTAAATCCCATCCCTCACAGGTACCGCCGCCGCATACGTGCGAGACAACGACTGTACTCGCGCTCTGATGAAATCACCCGCCTAAAGACCTCCTTCAATGTCCTCGAAACCATCCAGGCCGTCCGCCGCCATAGGTGGACTTTCCACGACCTCCAATACGTCGGACTTGCGCTTGTGGGCTTCACCTCCTTGATCCTGGCACCTGCTTCGCCTATCTTGAAGCTGTTGGCGCTGTTGGGAGGATCGGTGCTTATTCTTATGCCCATTACTGGCCAGTTCTTCTTCGCTGGTCTCACGATATGGGTGTACCTATTATACTTCTTCTGCAGCCGGTTCGTGTTGTTCTTTGCTTTTACTCTATTTTAGAGACCCGTCGTCGTTGGAGCATTCTGGCTCATTGTGTGGACCATCACTAATTCTCGTTATTTCGTTGCAGATTCATTCCCACAGAAATTCGCCCTCACATCTGGGTCCGTGTTCTTCCTGCCCTCGAGAACGTCCTTTATGGTGCCAATCTCTCCAATATTCTCTCCGCCCGCACTCACATGGCTCTTGACCTCATTGCCTGGATCCCCTACGGCATCCTGCACTTCGCACTCCCTGCTATCGTCATTGGCATCTTGTTCATCTTTGGTGCCCCTGGCAGCGGTCCCTCCTTTGCCAAGGCCTTTGGCTGGATGAACATCACTGGTGTCACGATTCAGCTCCTCTTCCCTTGTACCCCGCCGTGGTACGAGAATGAGCATGGCCTGTCTCCTGCCGTCTACGGCATGCCCGGGTCCCCCGCTGGCCTTGCCCGTATCGACAAGATCTTCGGCTTCGACATGTACACGACGAACTTCTCTACCGCGCCGGTTCCCTTCGGTGCCTTCCCCTCTCTCCATTCCGGAAACGCCGTCATCGAGGCCCTGTTCCTTAGCTACTGCTTCCCCCGGTTCCGCGGCTTCTTTGCCGGCTACGTCCTCTGGATCTGGTGGGCCACGATGTACTTGAGCCACCACTATGCCGTAGACCTGGTCGGAGGCGGTCTCATCGCCGCGGCCTTCTTCTACGTCTATAAGGCCTACTGGATGCCCAGGCCCCAGCATGACAAGGCGACACGATGGGACTACGAGTACGTCGAGTACGGCGACCGCAAGTCCATCTTCGACGAGGAGTTCGGTGCCTACGCCCTTGGTCTCATCGACCGCCATCCCCCGAGCGACAGCGACGAGTGGACTGTTGGTAGCAGCTCGAGTAGCTTCGCCAGCGGCAGTGGTAGCGTGAGCCCCACCTTGTCCGAAGAGAGCATTACGTTCCGTCGAGAGGTGCTTGGAATGGATGTCAGGCCGGATCAGGCATGGGACGGTCCCCGAGTGACGAAAAACGACCTGAGGCAGGTGGTGGTGGTGGGGTAATGCGTACGACGATGACGAATACCTTTTTTTCGACCTCTCTATTTTTCGATTCTCTCAACCGCGCCGTTGCGATGTTGTCGAACTAATATGGGAATCCCTTAATATCGCCCCCTTTTCGTTCCAGGCGGAATGTGGGCGAACCGGGATCCGTCTCGACTTAATACGTCCGGCACACTCTATACTTTTCTCGGTTTATTTGTTTCCATCTGTACAGACCGTTTTTTTTATTACTGGGTAGATGCATGATACCCCTTTATACGCTCGCTACCCAAACTTTTTTTTTTTCCATTATTCCTCTTTTTTCGAACGCAATTTCGAATAGGGGGTCCTTTGCTTTTCATATGAACATTTCGTTGTTCATGAATTCTTTTATTTATTGTTCCGACAATTTTACATTTGCATGAGCATAGCGAAACATGGACGGGATGTGTTTTTTTTATACGGCATCGATGGAGGAGAAACGCGGGGAGTTTTTTTTGTGTGGGCGTGTTGCGTTTCTGGGTCGGGTGGAGGATTGGAGGATGAGATCGACTTTAATGCGCCGAACGAGACTCGAGTTCCGATTTCGATCCGAAGCTGCTGCTTTATATTCGAGCCTGGTAGCAAGGGAGAGAAAGCAATTGCTTGTCAAGCTTCGGCGGGGGCATTTTCTCTGCTCCGCGATTCTCTTCGAAAGACCTTGCGTGGTTCCCCGGGCTTCGGTCGAGCGGTCGAGGATAACCTCCCGCTTTCCCATTTTCCACTTTTAATATTTAATATCTTTTTCACTTCTTTGCTCCGTCACCTGGCACGTCTTTTCGGCAAAAGATGCGTCTGGTTTCGGTGGCTTTTCTTCAATTTTTATGGGAATGGGGTGTGGGTTCGAGAGGGTCCTTGGGAAATGGACTGGACGATGCTTTTGGAGGAGGTTAATGTGGGTTGAGGTCCCCTCAATGTCCCCCGAGTCCGCTGTTTAATGTTCGGTTCTCTCCGTTTACCGGAGAAAGGAGATGCTCCAAAACGCATCCGACAAGGGGAAAAAGGACTAGAGAAAGGCGTGTACCAGCATCGCTCCAACCCCAGTCCCATGGCACGTTCAGGCGAGAGGAAGGTCCGATGGAAACGCCGTAGAGGTTTTTCGACGACGACATGACTGAAGAGAAAACAAAAAGTCCCAGATGGTGGGAAATGGGTGGATGTTGGGCGAAGGAAAAAAGTAGATGGGGTGGTGATGAAGGGAAAGACGAAAGAAATAAAGACCACTCGCTAGAACTTGTTCGAAGTAATATAATAAGAAATAATTGTCTCGCGCCTCTCTCTCTCTCTCTCTCTCTCTGTCTCTGTCTCTTTCTTAATCGTTTTGGGGAATACGGCGAACTGGACCCGGAGTAATCTCGAAGCTTCTCACGTTTCTCCTTGAAGAGGAGATTATCTCCCATTCTGGAGAGGAAAATCAAGTCGCATTCATCACACACACACACACACATGTATAAGGCCTACGCTGCGAACCACGCTCTGCTGCGACAAGGCCATCTCATGAACAGCTTTTAACAAGTTTCATTCGCAACTATCAACATCCTTCCCCCCAACCCAAAATCAACAACAACAACCAAAAAGCAGCCTGATCCCACGGAGAATTCGCCTTAATAGGAGGAACCCAAGCTCGGGGAGAACAGATGCTTTTGGGGTAGGATAAACGCCATGAGCTAACAACGCCGTTTTTTTTTTCACAACCGGCTCCTTGGAAAATGAAGACAGAAAACAAAAGTTACATGCGAATACAGCCTTCCACGCCATCTGTACTCGTTGAAAAAAAGACAGATACAAACGTTAACTGTCCACATTGGAAACCTCCTTGGTATCTATCTCATTTTTTCCCGTATTTCTCCTATTCTTTCGTGGTAAAACATCAAACCTCGACTTGTACTTCCGAGATCTACAGGGACGTAGGCGTGAGGGGATGTTGGGGCATCAACACTCGCGGTAAATAGAGGAAGGTTGTACAAAGTGTCGAGAGGCGGCGTAAGAGGGATGTTAGGTAAGGCAAACGCAGTGAATGGCACGTCTCCTCTCTGGCGGGCAAGAATGTCCCCGCTCAAAAACTCAGCGATACTCAGCGAGACCGGCGCACACCAGTCTACGGCATGCCCGGAATAGCCGGGGGCTGAATGGGCGTAACACGCCAGACATGAGGTTGAGGAGGCTGAACAGGAGTGATCTGGCCCCGGCTCGAAGGAGCAGGAGACTCAGACACCGACTTGGACCGTTTCTTCTTTGATTCCGTGGCCTCCTCGCCGGCCGAACGGCGCCGCTTCGTCTTCTTCGCCTGAGACGAGTCGGGTTGGCTCGAGGTAGGGATGGTGGGAGGCGGAATGGGAGTTTGGGAGCCACGCGCGGGACTGCTGGTGGCAGCGGGCTCATCTTGCGCAAACTTCACCTTGCTCTTGGACTTGGGCGTCTCCTTGGGAGGTTCCTCGGATTCTTCAGCTTTCGCCTTGGCCTTGGACTTCTTCTCCTTCTTTTCTTTCTTGTCCTTCTTGATCTTCTTCGACGAGTCCGCGGCCTCTTCGGCTGGTTGGCCGCTCTTTTCCTTCTCCAGCATGGCGATCCTGGCCTTCAACTCCGCTAGCTCCTCGTCGGCAGACTTGACCTGACTGGACGCAGGTGCCTCAACAGCAGGAGGAGGGCTGGCAACCTTGCGCTTCTTCTTGGGACGCTCGGCGAGCTGCGAAGACGGGGAGGAGGCGGGCGCAGTCACATCCGTCATGCCCTTGTCCTGCTTCGCCTTCTTTTGTTTCTTCTCCTTCTTGGAAGCCTTGTCAATCGCAGACGTCGCCTTGGACGACTGCTGTTGAGACACGCGCGGCTCGACACCAATAGGAACAAACCTGGTCCTGAGACCAGTGGGCTGCGTCGGCGCAGGCTTCAAGGATTTGGCGCTCTCTGGCGCAGGAGGGGTCTCAAACGACGCATCTACGTCGCTATTTGTGGTCTGGATGATGCTGATGCTCTTGCAGCTCGCTGAAAATAAATTAGTATAAGGTACTATCGTAGAAACCATGATCCAAATGTGAACTCACAAATCAAGTGGTAGCTGTCCCCATCCTTTAGACGGGGCACAGTAATTTTCGCGTTGGAGGACACAATTGCATCAGCTTTCTGTCCGCGCAAGGGGGCAACCTTTTGAATCTCGAGATTAAGAGGGGTCGAGGACGAATGGGTAAGAACCCAAAGCTTATTGCCTTCCTTCTCGGCGGATTCGAAGACGCGGGCAATTTGACCGAGGCTCTTGGGTTGCTGAAGCTTGAATACCCCGCCGATCACCGTGGGCGCGGGCTCGTTGGTGGTGTATGTGGAAAGCGCACCGGAATCGGCTTGGGTATTACCGTTAGTCTCGGGTTCAGAATCCTCATCGCTCGACTCCTCTTCAGAGCTGGCTTCACTCTCGGACGCCTCCGTATTCGCCACCTCGGACTCGGACTCCGAGTCTGAATCGCTGGATTCCTCGTCTTCTGAAGAATCAGAATCGGAACTAGCCGTCTTTTTCTGGCTTTTCGCAGCTACGGGCTGAGCGGACGGAGGAAGAGCCGACGAGGTCACCTTGCTCTCCGGCTCGCTCTCGTCGGAGCTGGAAGACTCCTCCTCCTCAGACGAACTAGAGTCATCTTTGACAGGGGCAGTCTTCTTTGCGTAGGTGCTATGTCCTCTAGCCTTGACACCCGACTTTTTCACCCCAGACTCATCTCCTGGAAGGTTATAGATATCAGTCGCAGTGCGAGAAGCGGCTGCCGCTCGGCCTGACATCGTTGCGGTGGCCTGCGAGTTCGCAACCACGGAGAGATTGCCTTCGATGCTGGATTTGGGCTCCGACTTGATCAGGGTAGATCCCAAGGCGTACTGCGACGAGTTGTAGAGCTTGGGGGGCAAAGCGGAAGGTTGAGAGCTTGAGAATGTGAGGCGGAGGCCGCGCGGATATACCGAAGAGGACTGGCTCGGGAACGAGTAGTAATCGATTGTTTTCTTCTTCAAGATCGGCTTTGGGGATCCCTGAGAGAGCACACGATTCTGGGTTGGCGAAGAGAGGTGCTGTCGGGGAAGAACAGGGAATCCGTCCAGGGGTGGCTCGATCTTGATGTGGTCTTGGGGCTGCTCGGATAGCTGCAGAGTCGTCTTTGAGGGTGTTGGAGAGCGCAAAGAGGACTGTAGACTTTCCCGCTTCGAATTGGTACTTTGAGTTGGGGAATTGGTTAATTCCGGGCTGCCCTCCCTGCGAATTTTAGGTTGGCTGGAGAAGCTCTTCGACCTGCGTCGTTGATTCTTGCTGCTCGACGACATTTTTTTTTTTTTTTTTTCTTTTTTGGGGACTTTTCTGTACGTGCATAGTATACGCGTTAGCCGAAGATTTTCCGAAGGCGGGGGAGGGTGCAGTGATCGCACGGGGTGTGGGCCTATTGACTTCTGGCTTGGGACCCAGTGTTCTGGATATCAAGCACGGCTTGCCGTGATTGATTTCATATCAATTACCTCCAGGTAGGATGCCGAGGCGGGTGCTGTTCAAAGAGAAGATTGATTCTCTCGAGACGCGAATCTAGAGCGCAGCTGGGCAAAGGCTCAGGGTAAGATGCCCAGAAGGGGTGTGATTTTGGGCAAGTAGGATAGAAGGGGGGTAAACGTAGAGGAAAACAGTGTCGATTGGCTTGGCGGCGCCCCTCGATCTTGTAGCTCTTGACGTTGGGGAGTCGATAAAATGGTGAAAAACGATGCGTTTAGAAAATAAAGTCGGGAAAAAGGGGTTTTGAAATGGCCAAAAAGCGTCATGGATACACGTGAATTGAAGAAAAAAAAATATTATTGGGGTGGTTTGCAGAGGTCTTAAGGTCTCCGGAGCTCTTGCCAAAAATCCATCTTGAGCAGGGAAAAAAGTTCGACGACTTTTGCTCCTTCCCTCCCACTTCCGCTAACCGCAACCACCTTCCTCACGGTTCTGTTCTTGACAGCAGCCTTGCCCTTTCCCAAATACTTAATCTAGAAACGGCAGTTGTATCAGGTAACTTTTTGGTGCTCGAGTCGACGGACACTGTTGCCTGGCGATATTGAGGGACACAGATTTTCGAGGGCATCAGGGTCTTGTTGGGTGATGGCTGGAGAACCAGTCTTGAGCGCTTTTGCTGCGCGCAAAAAGCTCCTTGCCAAGTACAACTCTGCCGCCGCGGAGGTAAAGAGTTCTAATGCTAGCGAGGAAGGGAGTTCGGGTGTCACCACCCGCTCTGGGGCGGAGCAGAAACGACGGAAGGCTTCGGCAGCATTAGCGGCACAGGGCGGTGATGGAAACGTCAAAACTGCGGCGTCTCAGAGAAAACGCCGTCGTGTGGCGTCTAAAGACAAAACGGCAGAGGCAGATGTCCAAGAGAATATCGAGGAACAACCAGTGGCGGCAGCCAAGCAGAAGAAAACTCTTCCGAGTCGCTCCAAGTCACCCTCTTCACTAGCGAAAATGCCGGTTACTGATGCTGAGGAGCCCTCTATGGAAACCGAGATGGAGGTGGACAGAACTCCGACTGCCAAATCCCCCAAGACTGCGATTTCGAAAGACTCTAGGTAAGATGAAAGGCAGTCTCTAGCTATCTCCCCAAGATTTTTTGTATATGAATGGAAGAGGATATAATTCTCCTTCTCTGTTTACTCTCTTTTTGGATTCTGAATATTTCTAACTATATTGAATTCGCAGAAAGGCAGAAACCAGCTCTTTACCAACACCTTCAGAGCTATTAGATGACAGCTCTGCCCAGCGGCTCATCATCCAAAATTGCTCAACCCAAAAAGAGAATGGAGTACTTGAACTACGCATCGATTCCGAAGAGGTAAGACTGCCCGGGATACTGAGCGTCTCTACGATTTTTGCATTTGTTAACACGGGGACGCAAATTTCAGCGCCTCAAACTGCCAGTTGTTGGTCAGTACGGCATACGGGTGCTTCGCGGAGAGGTCTTCATAGCCGGAGCTACCCTTCGCCCGTCTACCGACGTCATTTGGGTCCACGCTCCTCTTTGCTATTCGGTGCCGATTCTCAGATGCCCAGAGTCTTCGGTCCTAGAGCTACATCCTCATCCGTCATCGGATGGCTTCAGGCAACTCGGCCGTCTGTCACCTCTCTATTCTAATATTTGGAATCGATCTCAACCCGACAGCGTCTTTGGGAACCCATCATATCAAATTGTACGTCCGATGTGTGTGAGCTATGATAAGTGAAAAAATAAATGGCTAATATTTTGCTAGGTGTGCGGACCCGAGGACTTGCCGAAGAAGTCTGTTCTACGGCCTCTCTATTCGCCCCCAGAATGGAACAAAAAGCTCGCGGAGTTGACGGCTGATGGGACTCAATCAATGCCATGCCTCATTTGTGGCCCCAAGGGCTCCGGAAAGTCAACATTCACGAGGCTCCTCACCAATCGTCTCCTCACATTGCCAAAGCCTTCGCCTGGTCGGCGAACCCGCGCATCCAAGGAGGAGAGCGGCGTTCTCCTTCTCGACCTTGACCCGGGGCAATCTGAATTCTGCCCACCGGGGACGGTTTCATTAGTTCTAGTTCGAAAGCCCAACATATCGCCGCCTTTCGCCCACCCTTGGCCGGATGATTCGTCGGCTACATTAGTCAGGTGCCACGCCCTCGCCTCCGTCAATCCGGGCTCGGATACGGATTTATTTATAGAGTGTGCCCTCGATCTTTATAGCCACTACCAACAACGGTACAACGGATATCCTCTGGTTGTAAACACGCCAGGATGGGTTCTCGGTACTGGATTGGACCTCTTGACACTTCTCATTGGCAGCCTCAGACCGGCAGAGGTGATCTATATGTCTGAAGACGGTCCCACAGAAACGATCGAAGGACTTAGGTTAGCGTGCAAGACGCCAACCTTTAGCATGCTTCCATCCCAGCAATCCGACACGGGTACCAGAAAATCAGCGGCTGATCTACGCGCGATGCAAACCATGGCGTATTTCCACTCTGAGCAGCGGCAGAAGCCAGCCACTGTGAATCCTTCACCTCTATCTGCGATCGCCCCATGGCGGGTGTCATACGCCAGCAAAAACCGAGGCATTGCCGGAATAATCACGTACGGCGGACAACTAGAATCCGCCTTACTCGCGGAAGCCATCAACGGAATGGTTCTCGCGGCGGTGGAAATCGAAGATGAAAAGGCCTTCAGGCGCAGCCCGTCATCACCTCTGTCTGAAGCCGAACAAGCAATGGACGTAGACGCCTCGGATGGTGCCAAGATTCTGCAATGCGCCGACGAGTTAATGTCCTCTACTACGACAGACGGAATACCTCACATTGAACTTGCACACGGCGCCACCACCCTAGATATCCACTACTGCCGAACAATCGGCCTCGTCCTCATCCGCGGCGTCGACACCTCAACCTCCTCCCTACAGATTCTCACGCCCATCCCCCGCTCGAAACTCGAAGAGGTCCGGCAGAACGGCCGACACATCGTTCTCGTGCACGGACAGCTCGACGCGCCGACTTGGGCGTACACGGAGGATTTGTATGAGCGGGCGGCGAGTGGTGCCGACGGCTTGGACGATTATGAGGGTGAGGAAAATGAGGATGACGATGATGCGGGTGATGATGGGGTCGCGGTCGTGGGGGCGGGGGCGGGGTCCTTTGGGGTGGATCGGCCGTGGGTGGAAGGTGTGGATGGGAATAGGCGGAGGCAGGTTGGTGGGGGGACTTGGAGGGTGCGACGTGACTTGGGGAGGCATAATAATAGGTAGTTTGGATTTTGCGAGGGTAGAAATAGTGGAGGGGATGGTACGCCCTCGTTGTTTTGCTTCGTAGAAGCGAGGCTGCTTGCTTGATCTATAGCCATGGGCAGGGCAGATTCCGTATATACATGATGAGCACTTGTGGCTATAGCGGCAGGCTTCTGTCATTTCCATGAACGGTATGTTGCTGTTGTCATGCTCGAGTCGTCCATGTCGAGGGGCTCAGAGGATAGGCTCAGCCGACATTGATCTTCTCATACCCATTATTGCTCCAACGATCTCGACTACTATGCATATTCTGTTTTTTCAATCCCATCTACAACCTTTGTCTCCTCAAGGGAGAGTCTCAACAGATATGCATGAGTATAACACGTTAGAACCCATAGCAGAACAGGCCCAAAGTCCAAATCATGACCTAAACACATCCATCGATAAATGACCCAATGACCCATTATGCCCTTGTAGAGCACCCCGAGAGAGAAACACAAAATAACAAAAAGAGACAGTATGTACATCTAAGAAAACCCGGCTTATATATAATCTTCAGGGAAACATAGAAATCCCCCCTCCCCGCCGACTGCAATTAACCTAGGAACCCGGCCGGGCCATTTCCCAAGTCCCAGTACCAATCTTCCAAAGTAACGTCGGAAAAAAAATAAGAAAAGGAACGCCAAATATTTACGCCCATTTTCCTAAGAAGCTCATGAGGGCCATACCAGCCATGAGACCAAAAATGCCCATGAAAGTCGAAAACGCCGACGCGTTCGCCATTTCACCACCCATCCAATCGCCGGCCCACATCTCCACAAGACCCACCCACACCAGGATACCGCCCGAAAACGCATCGAGTGTGCCGATGGCGATGGCGGTTGCCGGGTCGTTTCCGTTAAATACCGAAAGGCAACCGGTGCCGATGGCCATGCCGATAGGGGTGACGAGGGCGAAGCACGCGGCGAGGACCATCTTATGCCACATGGGGAAGTTCGCCTTCTCCTCTTCCTGGTTCGAACCGTTAAGAGATGTAGCCTCGCCGCCGGCGGTCTTGGCCAAGGACTCGCTCGTATGCTCCTGGGGGTGGATGTGATGCTGGTGATGGCCCGGGCCATGCTGATGGACGGAGTGGTGGCCGAGCGCCGCGAGAGCATGGTGCTGGTTTGTGCCCAAGCTGGCAATGCGAGAACCAAGCGCGAGGCCCTCGAAGAATTGATGGAAGACGATGACGATGAAGAGAGTGATGAAAAAGGAGTCGCCCGATACAACAAGCGTAACTCCGATGACTGGGTTTGAGTGGATTAGTCAGTCTCTGTACCACTAGTCATTCCGTATAAAAGAGGAATTGGATAGAAACGTACTCAAAGAATGGAAAATAATGCCAGCCTCCATCACATAAATGTTGACCGTCTCAAGTGACGCGTTAGCCTTTTCGACGGAGTAACCCTCGGGACTGCCATTCAACATCTTCTTATTCAATCGGGACCTCATGAATCGCTCGCCGAAGTATTCGACGAGGAAGGAGATAAAGATGCCAGCCATGAAGATGGAAGCGGCCGTCCCTTCGTATTCAATGCCCTCAACACAATCATTCTGGAACATTAACATCGCGTGGACGAAGAGCTATGAAACCGCACACCGTTAGCTGGGAAGGAGCAAGAGAGCCGTGGGATAGAAACAAATTCAGAACGTAGGGGAGCAGCGGATAAATAGGTGTCGGGGGCTTTTTTCCTTACGTGGACAAACGCAGTAGAGATGATGATGCCGGTACCGAATTGCTTGAGCGTTACCCAGATGACATTGAGTTTCGACGGGAGCCATTTGGCGAGGAAGATGGGAGCGAAAACACCTTGGAACGAGTATGAGCTCACGACGCTTCGACGTACACAAGGTACATTGCCCTGGGGAGTAGAGATAGGGGATTCTTACCGACGGCACTTGTTGCAAGGATGGCAAAAATGAGACCGATCCTCAAGCGCACGTTATATTCACGGTCCACCTTGTCGCACTTCTTTTCTGTTGTGGAGCCCCCAGATTCCGACTCTCCGGCACCAACACAATGCCTGGAGAAGTTAAAAGTTGTTAGTACTGCTCCTAAGGGGATTCCGTTTCGCAGTTTGGTCTGACATACTCAACGCCGGCGTGGAAATGGCAGTTTAGTCCAGAAGGGTTTTCGCTTTCACTTTCACCTGATTCGTCGTCGGCATGGTCACCGTCGGTATCACCATCGCCTGCCGCGGAGGGTATGTCGATTTCGACATCATCGCCGTTAGGGGCTATACAGTATCTAGGTGCAAAAAGTCAATACCCTGTCAACAGATCTCGGAATAACTATAGGGTTTCGGGGCCTTACAAGGCGCTACCGTGGTTGTGGCATCCGGTAAAACTAGCAGGAAGCTCCTCGGTTGCGGTAACAGTAGTCTTGAGGGGAAATTCGTCTGCTCCTGCCATACACCATCTAGAACGAAAATGTTAGCCCCTCTGAATAGAGACACAACGCGACTGACTATCGTGCATGATGAGAGGGAGAGAGGGGATGATCTACATTGTGGCGCCGTGCAGATGGCAGTCGGAGACGGCGGTAATGGCTGAAGAAGTAGTGGTGGGTGTCGCAGCTTGTCGAGCGACGCGGGCGTAGGGGGTGATGGCGGGTCCCGAACTGAGGACACCCGGGCATAAGAGGATTAGGCTTAGAAGGCCCGTGGTAGATCTACTGATCGGCGCCATGATAGATGTGGTCGAACGAGATGTTTCGAGTTCAAACACACAGAAGTCCTCAAACAAGGTTCGATTCTGGCGCAGGGAAAAGGCGAAAGGCGAATAGGTAAATCAATAGACGGGAGTTGCCGCTTGTTCCCTCCGGAAGGGACTAATTCAGATGTCGGGTTTCCTAGGCCGAATAGCTTATCCTAAATGGTTGAAGAGATGATGTTGACTTGCTGCAGATGGAAAAAGAGTGGACGATCAGCTTCATTTATCAATAGAAGTACTGTGGTTAGGTTGCACAGATCCACTTACTCTTTTAGATACTTCCTTGATTAGTAGTTATATGGGAGATGAACCAACAACATAGGGCCTTGTTCCTGGCGTGGGATGAAGTGGCAAAGGTGGGTGAAGGACAAGGGCCTAAAGCACCTTGATGGGTGGTGAGTGGATGGAAGAGGTAGGCTGAAAGCGGCCACAAGCCAAACAGGTGCACGTCGGACGGCCGAGATAGAAGGATTGGGAAGCCGCCGAGCGGGTTTAAGCAAACCTGGGATGAAGATGGAGGGATGGCAAGCCTCCCAGGACCTTTAAGGCTCTTCCCTTTTCCGCAATATTGGCAAGGCCAAGACTCGTCTCGCGGAATCGGCAGACAACAGAGCTATTGGGGACCCTTTCGGACGTCTAGATCCCTTGTCGGCCGAGAGAGAACCCCCACACTCGAGTGGTACCCAGCGATCGGGTTTCCGTAAGAGAATGGATGAAAATAGCAAGGATTTGATGTGGGTGGGTTGGCGGGAGACTCTAACAAGTCCAGCGAGAGTGGGCAGGGCGCTCTACACCACAGCTAATACTAATAGTATCTGGCTTGAGCGGCTTGAGTGGCAGAACCTCGTCGCAGAACTGGGCAACTGGGTAAGTTGGGTGGACAGGGCACGAGATGAGACACGGGAGCAGCTGAGCTCCACGGTGATGGATGATCGATGCGGGATGATATTCAGAAATAGCCCAATATCTCGTTTGGATCCAAACCCCAGAAATGGGGCAACAATTAAAAAGGGTGGGATGGATGTAGGGCAAGATGAGGAGGATGGAGCAGCTGAGTATAGTGAGAAGGGAGTATCCGACACACAAAGGAGCTTGGACAGAGAAAGGCGACGAGAGACAAAGACGTGCAGTTTGCAGTTTGCAGTTTACAGCTTCAAAGAGCAGTTGTACAAAGCAATAGTGTAGATCTCGTCGACAAAGATAGACAGAAATAGACGAGGGACGCCGAGTCAAGGTTCTTTGCACGATTTTGTTCCTTTTGTTTCCCACCTTCCGTCGTTCCTTCCACACTTTCTCTTGGTCATAGTTCCCTGTTCCAGCTGGAGTGAAATTCATAGCGTGTGTACAAAGCTGACAAGGTCGTATAATAATGAGTACCCGGATGGCTCAAAATGGGGGCACTGTTCTTTGTCCCAGCCAAGACTTGGAACTTACGAGGGAACATCAAGCAACCCCAAACCTGCCTCGACCTTTCCACTTTCTATAAACTGCAATGCTTGCTCTGCTGCTTCTCAAGTTGATCCCCCCCAACGTTATATCTTTCATTCTTCCACGTTGGAGGATGCGCCGAGCTATTCTCGACGGCCATTTCTCCTCCCCTCCTCGAGAGAGAGAGCAAACACCCCCTCTGGCTTGAGCTGTGGGTGACTTGGTCTTCCCTGGTCCCGCTGTGGGGTCGTTTTGCGCAGAAAAACGCAGAAAAGCGTGGGCAGGAGCGAAGACGTGAAAAAAAAAGGTCGAAAAGCACCCTGATGGCCTTTTGTCCTTCCTCTTTCTGGCACGGGGGCGTCATAACCAGTGATAGAAGGCCTGCTATTGGTCCGCAAATGTCACGTTCGGGATGTATTTTGTACTCGCTCCACCAGCATTCGAAGTAGATTAAATCGGTACTTTGCAGTTTGTGGGTGATAGGGTACAATGCCGTACATCGGCACATGTACAAGTACACTTTCAAGCTAACGTGCTCTAAGCCAGGGTCAAATGGTCTGCATATTTGATCGATTTGATCGGGTGTCTCCAAGCTCTCCCACACCACCAAAACCTGCAAGATTATCTGCTGCGATTATAAATCTTGTATACTTCCCGTCGTGTTTCCCCAGAGCCTGAGCCGACTAGGGAAAAAAGACATAAAATGGGAGAGAGTGTTTGGGAGGAATGGAGCCCACAGAGTTGTAACCCGCAATTGGCAATTGACCCGCGCCGGATCATCATCCAGTCCTTCCATATTGCAGCTCCGGCCCTCAAGCTTCGAGAGACTTGGCATTCCTGATTATCCTTTTCAGCATCCGTTCTCGATATGAGGATAGAGGATGTACAGTATCTCCAATATCAGGAATGATGCTTGGTACCGGCAGTTCGTTCACGTTCGTCATTAGCTGCACGCGGATTTCCAAAAGACGTCAGGCAACTGGCCCGTGTCGTGTCAAGCCTCGAACCACCCAAGACATCTGAGAATCATCGATCTATCCATGGCCTGGACCCGGATGACTTCATCACGTGAGCTTCATTCGACATCACTTGGACCCAGCATTCCAGACCTCATCTGACCCCAGGCTCGGAGGGTTGAGTCTGGTTATGCAACTGAACATGATTGATGATTTCCACAGCTGTGGCACTAGGACATGAGCAACCGTCACTGTTGGACGAATTTAACATCTGCTCACAGTCTAACCGGCGCGTGCATTATTCGAGTTAGGTTTCGTGGGATCTTCCTCTCCGTGACCTGGATCGTGGCTATGGCCATTTCCCTACGGCCTACCGCCCCTGCTACATTTAAAATATTCGAGAAGAAAGAGTTGGTGACGGACCGCATATGATATCTGGCCTCTGCTCAACACTCATAGGTAAATGTTCATTCCTTTCCAGCAAAGGATAGGCGATGAGGTGGTAACCCGGTTTGCAAATGTTTCTTTTAACATGATGTCGAAGTTCAATATCACATTGGGAGGAGTGCAATTTCTAGCAATCCGTGAATCCCTTGTGGAGTCCTACTCAAGAAAGGCCCTCCGTGATGGTTTCGCATATCAGCTAGGCCAATTTATTTGCAAACTCTTCTCTCTCTCTCTCTCGCTCTCAAGAGGGAGGGGGTTTGCCTACATCTAAGTTGCTAGTATTAATCCCTTCCAGTGCTCCTGAGGCTTTAGTATCACTCCGTCGCACCGTCTTACAGTATGTGCCATCATTGGGTGCGGTTAGTGTGGCCAAAGTCGACTTCCCTAAGCCGAGTCGAGTCCTGCTGCCGCTCTGCAGCAGAGAGGACACTCCTCCGCTCCTCCCAACTGCAGTTCCCGTCCTGCCCCCGACCCAGCGACTTCCTGTCCTTCAATTGCAACCATCCTCATCCTATATTTTGATTGTATTTACTAGGTATAGCTAATGCTGACTGGACTCCATGCACGTTCACTCAACTGTGACCATGTACTCTGACACCTGTGAGTCGCTCTGACCATGTCTGGAGAAGCGAAGAATGATGGCATTGTTTGTTTACGCAGGCTATATTTTCAAAACAACTTCATCTTCTTCTCAGAGAAAAAGAAAAAAACATTCAGAACACAGAGCCTGCAAACACTTAACACATTAAATCAGAACAACGGCAAATGCCTCTATCATCCAACGATTTGAAGACATTCTTGATCCATTTTGTGAGCTCGATCACACCAAGTTCACAACAGAGAAGCTTCTCCCTTTCTCTATCTACCTTATCCTGCAGAATATCCTACCTGCCAATCCCCAACCCATCGATGATTCTCTCCTCCAGAATCTCCCATCCAAAGCACGAGAAATCGGTAAACGTATCCTGCCTCGGTCCCTCCCTAACAACTTCCTATACCCACCACAGCGCAATCGCCCCTTCCCTTCTTCTAGGCCGTACTCGCCCCGTGAGTGGGCTAGCCGCTTCAACGATTCGCTCTCCTATATCGCCGAAGTAGATGACCCTGCGATGGAGAAGGACCTACGCGGCGTAGAGCCACCAGCCCTCCCGTACCAGCCTGACTATAGCAATTCATTTAACTGCTATCTTGCCCGTGGGCAAAGGGCTAGGCTGTTGCGAAGTGGAAAGCTGCAGTATTCTTTTGATGCGGACTCGTTTACTCTCTGAGAGCCTGAGACGTTCCTCCAGTCTGGTGTCTACTAAGGGGTCACTGTCGCCGATTGGGCTGTTGATGGTGATATCTTAGAGGAGCATATCTTGAGGAGTGAGTTTTGTAGTGTTGTACTGCTTTCTAGGTAGTACTGCGAGCCTTATTCTCCCCAACCTGAGTAGTCTATCTAGCATAGCGAGCTCCGTTCTCCACCTGAGTAGTCTAGCGACCCTCATGACCAATTACCACCTCCTGTAAGTCTCTTCTGTGTGGGAACGATGAAAATGAAGATGCAAAGACATATGATCAACAGCTAATGCCATCCATCTGCTCCTACGCATGCTAGGTAACTATTATTACATTTACGAAATCGGTGGTCAGGGTTCTCCAGGCCTGGTTCTCCGACGACACGGACAGCGATACGCTGCCTTCGAATCTCAGCCTTCGATTTCAAATCCCCATCGACGACTTCGTTGGTTCCGACCACCGTTCTACTGAGAATTGGCGATCTATCGTCAAGTGGTTGATGTTCCAGGGCATCCCTGATCAAGGCATTAGCGATTCTAGAAGCTGTTCGCCTAAAGTCCTTACTGTATGACAGCCTCGGACCCGCATACCATCTGGCCACCCTGAGCGGCTCTTTTCCGGACCTGCCTTCATGCCGAGCTCAGACTCGGAAAGTTTCTCGTCTGATGTCTCCCCCTGAGCGTTTTAAAGGACACCTCCTGCTTCAAAGCAATGCTTGGTTGGCGTGTATGATTATCCCGCCGGGGGGGGGGGGGTTTGCTATTTAGTACTTCCCCTATGGCCAAGATTGAATTGTTGTCTCCGTCAATTGAGGGATAGGATGAGGGACATTTTCTTCTTAACTACCTTGCGAGGACGAAACCTAGGGTTCTATTCTTTGGTGATTTGCTAAGTAGCCTCTTCCTGGCCGATTTAGTGGTATTTAGTGGTACAATGATCAATGGCCTCCCTCTCGAGTACTATCTGAAATAAGCCCCCGAGTCTCTGACGAAGTGTGTGTCCGAAGACCGGCGCCGATGGTGGGGCCACACGGCAAGATCCGATCCGCTGATCGAACAGTGCGTCCGACTCCGACTCGGTCCTAGATGGCCCGATCCTCCTCCATTGACATATACGAAGCAGCCGGCTATAGATTATCAGGCCTTTTCTCCATCCAAGCGACACGACTAGATGAAGCTCATCCTACCTTCATTCACGGTCTGGCCATGAGCTGCCCCAGACCCCGCACAAATATTCCGATTCCGGGAGATTGAACCCATCTCGCTGCGGCGGGGAACGCGAATCTGTAAGCTTATATTTTGGATCTGGTGCTGATATTGATATTAATTGATCTCCGGAATAAAGAATCTCGCATAACCCCCCTTTCGCCCTGCCCCTCCATAAACAGGCAAAAGGTAAAAATCATCAGACTGCCCCTCTCCACATCTCTCCACACCAGCCACTTGGCGATATTATTATAGTATACCGACACGAGAAATCCGGGACGAGAAATTATTGGTTGGAGAGGATCTGTTTCGGACGGGATGGGGTACGCACAACTGCCGCTCATCAAGCCCGCCGAACTTGGATGTTGTGACTGATGATATTAGGAATTTAAGATCAGTCGAGGGAGGCATTCAGGCACAATTGCCCTTGTGAGGGTCAGGGCCTCAAGCTGACTTGCATGCTATTACGACTTTTGATTTATTTCGATGTTGCGAGGGTTGCGATCCCCCGGGAGTGTACCCCGCCCCCGAGAGAAGGTGTGAGAGATGGCATGTTATAAGCTGAGAGCCGACATGGCTCTCTTTCCCTTGCAGTTGGGAAGTAGGAGATCCGTTCGCCGGTTCTCAATCCACCGATTCTTTCGGACGCAGTAGGCCCCCAAAGACTTTGGTTCTTAACGAAATAGCTCCCACTGGCTCCCAAATGATGACACTCCGCGGACTCCTCGCCAGCGTCCTGGTTTCTGCGTCGCTGGTTAGCCTCGCCGTCGCCCGCCCTACTCATGCGCGCAGCGCGCTCGTCAAGCGCCAGGATGAGATTTACGAGGAATATGACTTTATTGTCGTCGGAGCCGGGACGGCGGGACTTACTGTTGCGGATCGTCTGAGTGAGGAGGGAAAATGTTAGTCTCAACCTCTCCAACCAAGGTTTCCCACACTTTCTCTCCCTGTCTCTCTCAAAAGCTTAACTGGGGCTTGTGCTATAGATACCGTCCTATGCATTGAATATGGCTACCTCGACTCCTCAACAACAATAACTGCAATCGGCCCCGGTCCCCGTCGCGACACCCTCCCCTCCGCCACCCGCTACTACAACATAACCTCCATCCCCCAACCGGGCCTCGCCAATGGCCGCAAACCCGCCATGGCCGGCGCCGTAGTCGGAGGCAGCTCGGCCGTCAACGGCATGTTTTTCGACCGGGGCTCCGCCGAGGACTACGACACTTGGTTCGGCGTGGCCGGCGAGTGGCAGGAGGACTTTGCCGAGGAATGGGGCTGGGAGAATATCCTGCCGTATTTCAAGAAGAGCGTTACGTTTCATCCGCCCACGGAGGAGGAGGTTGAGGCCTATGGGATGACGTACGATGTGGAGGGGGCTTATGGGGGAAGCGCGGGGATTCATTCGAGTTATGCGCCGTATCAGTGGGATGTTCAGCGTAAGTTGGGACGGACTGCCACATATAAACAGCCTCGTATCGGGGAGAAGTATGCTGACCATTCCCCCTCTCTCTGTAGAGCACATCTGGGAGGGCTTCAAACACATCGACGGCGTCGACTTCCCAATCGAAGGAGCAGACGGCCACGCAGTCGGCGTCTTCTGGTGCCCCAACTCCATCGACCCCTCCACCCGCACGCGCTCCTACTCCAAGATCGGCCACTACGACACACTCGACGGCCCCGCATACCGCCAGAACTTCCACCTCCTCACCGGCCACCGCGTCACGCAGGTTCTGCTCGAAGAAGCCGAGGACGATGATGGCAACGTCGTGTGGGATGCCACGGGCGTAATGTTTACGCCGCGCGATGGGCCCATGCCTAGTTCGGCTTGGAGGGTCAAGGCGAGGAAGGAGGTTGTGGTTTCGGCGGGGGCGTTGCATTCGCCGCAGGTTTTGGAGAGGAGTGGGATTGGGGGGAGGGATATTTTGGAGGCTGCGGGGGTTACGCCGAAGGTTGTTTTGCCGGGTGTTGGGTGGAATTTCCAGGATCATCCGAACTATGGGATGTCCTTTAGATGTGTGTTACTAGCCCACAGCCCCTTTTTTCTGTTTGTGAGTAGAATATCACTGACAAAGAGCGAACCTAGGGACCAAGGAGGACCTCGGACCTACCCCCGAAAACTTCAACCAAGACAAAAACTTCACCGCCTGGGCCGACGAACTCTGGGCTGCTAACCAAACGGGCCCTCATGCCGCCTACGTCAACAGCGGCGCCTTCCTCCCTCTCTCCGTCCTAACGCCCGATTACGCCGACATCGCCTCGGCCATCGCCTCGCAGAAGGCCGAAGACCACCTCCCCGAGGGCCTCGACCCGACTATCTACGCGGGCTACCAGCAACAGCTCAAGGTGCTCTCGCAGACGTATAATTCGACTGGGACGGCGATACTAGAACTTCCCTTCTCGGGACGCTCGAGTTTTAGCCTTGTGAATCTGCATGAGCTGAGTCGTGGGTCTGTGCATATCTCGCCTGATGATGATGGGACGACAGATACGGGACGGGGAGACGTCGAGCCTGTGGTGGATTACCGCACGCTCGTTAATCCCATTGATAACGAGGTCAACGCCATCTTCGTCGCTTTCGTGCGCAGCTTCTTCGGCTCGGAGTACATGGTCGAGAACCTCGCACCTGTCGAACTCACGCCCGGCATTGACGAATATCCCGATGGGTCGGAGGAGCTGGACGGCTGGTTGAGGAGGGTGTTGAGTCCGAGTACGGGACATCCCGTGGGGACGTGTTCTCTGGCGCCGTTGGAGCTGGGAGGAGTGGTTGGGCCGGATTTGAGGGTTTATGGGACGAGGAGGTTGAGTGTTGCTGATAATTCGGTCATGCCGCTTATTCCGGGGACGCATACTAGTTCGACTGCGTATGCTATTGGTGAGAAGGCGGCTGATTTGATCAAGAGGAGGGCGGGTTGGTGGGATGATGCTGAGGAGTAAGGGGAAATCCGGCCGAGCCTGGGGAACCTGATGCGGAGAATGAATCCATCGAGGGTTGGAGAGCTCGCTGTTGCCCTGCTTGACTGACTGGGTTATCGTGTCCGCTGCCTCGCAGTGGTGACAGCTGAGAGTGGTGCAAAGGCATTGGGACTTGAAGGGTTTGAGGGTTTACTTCTTGTACATCTTAATATCCGGCCATGTTATTCTTACGAAAAACAAATGCGAAGTACGGTTGTGGCAGCCCGCCCAAAGGGTCTCTAGGGGATTCTTTCCCTCGGGGTGTGCCCCATGTCCCTCGAGTGAAGATATATTTGCCGATATGCTCATGGAAAGCCGGCGTTGCTGGTAAGCCCGAAAAAAATCTTTAGGGTATATCTATTTTTGAGAAACTATTCTTCAGTCTGTATGCCGTTAATTTCATGTCAAGTGAACAGCGCAAGGCCATGCATCCGCCTGCCATTCCGTACCGAACCATGCAATGCAATGCAATCCGAACCCATGAATCCAAAAGAAAAACAACCAAAAGCTCCTTAGAATCAATCACAACAACCCCCGTTTTCCCTTCCCGTTCCCTTTCTTCGCTTCTCCAGCCAACCACGCACCTCCTCCCTCCCCGGTAACCCTCGCATGTCGAACCTGGTGAAGCTTCACGTCTGCCGGGTGGAGGGGATTATAGACCGTATCGCACAGCTTGCATTCCTTAAAGGGGAGCTTCGTCGATAGGTTTAGCGTTGTTTGGACTTTGCGCGTGGCGGCAGTTGATTGCTTCGCTGATGATGGTAGCGCTGTGGCTTTGGATGGTGTTGAAGAAGATGAAGAGGCTGTTGCTGTGTTGAGGTAGAATTGGTAGGGCATCGTGTAGGCCGGTATTGTTGCTTCGGCGTCTTGTCGTGAGGTCTTAGAAGTGGGATTGTTTGGTGGCGGTAGTTTGTTTTCTGACTGGGACGGGTTCGCTTCTGGTGTCGGATTCCTCTGTTTCTTGACCGCGTCCCCTTTACTCGAACTCTGAGACGACTCATTCGTCTTACTCCTGCCTATCCTCGGCTTGAAAAACTTGTCCAGGGTCACTCGCCTCTCATCATCCACATCCTTCTCCTCCTCCTCATCATCCTCCTGCTCCCCCGCAATAGGCACAAGCGAAGGCCGAATCTTCAACCGTCTAGGACTCGTCCACCGCCTCACCGAGGGCGGTGACGAAGGGGGCGACGTCCCAACCGCCTCCCTTCCAGCGACGGGATCCGACCATAGTAGTCCGCTACTACTTTGCCCGACCGAGGAACGCGGCGACGAACTCCCGGCGGCGGCGGAGAAATACCCATCGATAGCTGGCTGCCCGGCTCCCGCCATCTTCTTCGGCGCTATCGAAGGTGGTAGCAGTAACGGCAACTCCTCTTCAATCGTAGTAATAGTAGCCACAGAAGCAGAAGAACCTCGTCTGGGCTCACTCTTCTGTCGCTTAGCGGGTGGCTGCTCCGTCGCGCCCGCCGCCAGAGATGACGAGTTTCGTTTTGAGTAGGTTCGGATTACGCGTCGGTTTGGTGTGTTGCTCTCCGTGAGAGGGGGGAAAGCCATCCTAGATGATGGGGGGATGGAGTGGATGTCGCGGTTCCATTGCTTTGGGCGGAGTTTGGGTTCGTCGTGGGGTTTCTTTCTGTGGTCTTGGTTAGTGGTGTATCCTCCACTAAAGCCGCAGTTTTGGAGAGAGGGAGGTAAGACAAACATGATGAATTCGGGGGAGCTGGGCGGTGCGTCGAGGAGGGATTTTGAAACGTCGTTGACCGAGACGCGGGCCATTGACGGCGGTACTTTGCAGGAATCGAATCGTGGTTTCGGGAGACTTGACGCGATGCTCGAGACGCGCTGGATGTTGGTGTAGACTAGGTGTGTGTTGGCTTAACATGATAGTCTCAAAAAGCTTCCAGAAGAGGGTGAAAAAAAAAAAGTTGTAAGTCATAAACCGGAAAAGGTAAAATAGAATCGGAGGGGTTTCAGAGACAAGGCTGGCCAGGAATGGAAATAGAAGTCATGATGGAGGAGGCTGGGACAAGGTTGGCAAGAGCAATACTTGTTTGGCGTGTCAAAGTGCTTTCGACCCACTCGAGGGCGCGAAAAGAACGCGTCGAGCGCGTCACCATCGCGGAGTCACGTGTTTTATCGAAGTTCCCAACAGTGCTTCGGACCGTCATCGAGAAACTCATGCCACGCATTCTTATCAGGAAGGGTCGGTGTCCTAGTTACAAAGTATCAAAATGGAACCATGAAACGTCTCTTGAAGTGGATGAAATTAGAATTGGCGGAAATAGTGTTGCTACTTGGGTTTATTCCTCCTTCGTAGATTTGTCCCCTCCACGCCCTCATCCTTTTCCTTCTCGATGATCCTCACCTCCTGATCCCCCTCTTTCTCGCCCTCATCGTCGACCCCTCTATCATCCTTCTCACCCCCCGAAATAACCCACGTATTCACCACCTCCTTCACCTCCCTCACCCTCACCTCCTTGCCCACCCCTTGCTCCATCCTCCACGCAAACGCCGAATAAACCACCACCTCCGCCACAGCCACAACGATTGCCCCGGCGAGCGTCAGCAACACCCTAGCCGGCGTGCTCCACCACCTCGCCACCATCCAGATCGTCGCCGCTACGCCCACGATGCTCACGAGGAAGTTGAACACGAGCATGAGCTGCTTGTTCACCTCCTTGAAGGCCGCCGCGTCGGAAGATTCGGGACCCGCGGTATCAGCATCGGTTTTGTTGTGTGGGCGGTTCACTTCGGCGAAGGCGGTTGCGAGGGCGGCGTTGGGAAAGTGCTGAGAGAAGGTCTCGAGGGTAGGGGTGGGGTTGAGCATGCGTTCGTAGGCGCGGGCTTCTTCTTCGCGGCGGAGGCGGGCCATGAGGGCTTTGTATTCGGGGGACTGGAGGATAGTAATGTTAGCACAAGAGTTTAGGAATATGAGAGTTGTAGCGCAGTAGAATAACTGATGCTGATGCTCGTGCTGATGGGAGGGGGTCGAGGTGAACTCACGGGTTCCGGCTTGGGGGGAGGCGGCGGGATGTAGACGCAGGATCCTCGAAGGAGCGCTTCTAAGGAATATTCCTTTTTACTGTCCTCCTTGGCCCGGAGAGCCTTCCAGAGATCGAGGATCTGGCCGTGGGAGATGGGCTTGCCAACAGCAGGAGATTCCAGACTAGGCTCCTGGTTCTTGGTCGTGTTTTCGTGTTCTGTGGCGGATGCGCCTGGGAGCGGTAGAGGCTCATCCAGGGTCCCTAGACCTTCCACTATGGAAGGCGTCATCGTAAGAAGAACCATGGCGACGGTGATGGCTGGTTTTGCGCATTCCGAAGCGATGCATGCAAGTTCTTAAAGCTGTCTCTGCCGCTGCAGTTGCCTGGAAGCTTGCGTTCGCTTTGTACCCATGTAACAAATACGAAATACTTGGTCGGTACAAAGTACAAGGAGAATACGAAATCCAGATCGGGATAGCTTTGCACTCCACAACCGGCGACACCTGTCTTTACACATATCCACCCAATAATGGCTTCGCCCCAACAACCTCGGCCGGATTGGCAGCTGGCCTCTTAAACCCGCGTCGCAAAAACTCGGGACGAACATCGAACGACGCCTCCCGATCTCAAGAAGACCCAGCAAAAATTACGGCGAGACTAAAAAGTCCCAAAAAATATTAGCCTCAGCCATAAGCTTCCTCGCGTTACGATAAGCGAAAACAAGGGCGGAAAAAAGGATACGGAAAATTCTCCCTTTCCTCTTCCCTCCTCTCAATTGGCAACCGCGTTCTTCAATTGGGACACCCTGAGATCCCCGGTAGCTGATGTTGAGTCGTTGAACCGAGAGATTGGCTCCCGCCCTTCCCCCAATTCTCTTCCGACAACACCGTGAAAGGGGAAAAAGTTCCTGACCTCGTTTGGAGGATTCGCCTGCGGAAAAGAAACTAAACGCTAGTTTTTTTTTCACCTCAAAAACGAGAGAAGCAACAGGATGCGGTCCTCAATCCGCCACGGTGTTCGGCGGTGTTCCCAGAGGAACTACGTCCGGTGTAATGGCAGCAGCTCCCTGCGTCCTTTTTCCCTTTCTCGCCCTTCCACATGCTCCGGCAGCCTCCCCTACACGAGGTTACCTCTCCTCTCCGGCACCAGCGGAACCGCCCCCTTCGACCCCCAATCTCCCCGAGCCTACCACTCCTCGTCTAGGAAATCCTCCGCCTGGGCCGCCGTAGCCTCGGTAGCCTCCAACGTCGTGACCAACGCCGCGAAGCGAGCCGTAGGCGCCGCCGGCACCGCAGATCTCCCCATCCACCCGCTCAAGGTGGTAGCCAAGGAGCTCAGCACCAAGTTCCTCACTCCCAACATCAAGAAGCTCGTAGCGTCGCGCACCCCACAACTCGACCGTGTGGCCAAGTACTACACCCAATCCGAGGGCAAGTATGTCCGTCCGCGGATCGTCCTCCTCATGGCCCGCGCCACCTCGCTCTGTCCCAAGGCCGGGCCCGAATCCCTCCGCGCTAGCGCCATCTCTATCGACCAGGCCATCTCTCCCGCTACCATCCTCTCGGACGTTAACCCCACGAACCAGTCCGCTAGCCTTAACTCGCCGCCCGACGCTGAGGTGATACCGGGCGTTAACCCCGCGCAGCGCCGTCTCGCCGAGATTACGGAGACGATCCACACGGCGTCACTTCTTCACGACGACGTCATCGATCTTTCTGAATCACGCCGCGGCGCTCCCTCTGCTAACCTCCAGTTTGGCAACAAGATGGCAGTCCTAGGCGGAGATTTCCTCCTCGCGCGCGCGTCCGTCGCACTCGCGCGTCTTCGACACCCGGAGGTCATCGAGCTCCTCGCCACCGTCATCGCTAACCTCGTCGAGGGCGAGTTCATGCAGCTCCGCAACACCGAGGCCGGCGAGCGAAACCCCGTCTGGACGGAGGAGGCCCTGACGTATTACCTCGAGAAGACGTACCTCAAGACGGCTAGTCTCATCTCCAAGTCGTGTAGGGCCACGGCTATCCTGGGCGGTGCCGACGCCGCGACCGTCGACGCCGCGTATGCGTACGGCAAGAACCTCGGCCTGGCGTTCCAGCTTATTGATGATATGCTCGATTATACGATTAGCGGGAAGGATCTGGGAAAGCCGGCGGGCGCGGATCTTGAGCTCGGTCTGGCGACGGCGCCGCTTTTGTTTGCGTGGAAGGCGAATCCGGAATTGGGGGCTTTGGTGGGGAGGAAGTTTGCCGAGGAGGGAGATGTAGCGAGGGTAAGTGGGGGTTACTTTGGATTTGCACTCACAAATCCAAAGCCAGAAGAGCTTTGTTTCGATTTGGTTTTCTAACGAATTCCCTTTAGGCGCGTGAACTCGTCCTCCAGAGCGACGGCATTGAACAAACCCGGGCTCTCGCCGAGGACTACGCCAACAAGGCCGCCGCGGCCCTCGAGGCCTTCCCCGACAGCGAAGCCAAGGGGGGACTCCTCCAGATGACGCGCGACGTATTAAAGCGAAAGAAATAAACGTTTGCCAAAAAGACGAAAGAATTCGAACCGAAAGAAAAGGAGAAAAAAAAGACCTCTACTAACAAACCCTTAAACAAATGAAATTATAAAATTCCTAAATCATTGGAGTTTGGACAGGGCGGGGTTCATCAGAAACTAATAGACGGGTTGTAAAATGGTTTTTTCATTGTATTTTTCTTGTTAGAGAAGAGGAGAAGAAGACGAAGGCGGGCTAGAGAAGTTGTTTCGGTTGGTTTCCTTGCAACGCTGTCTGATTTGGGCAACCTTGAAGAAGGATATCCCCCTCCCCTCTTTCTGCGCTCTCTCCCTTTGGGAGTTCCAGGCAGAAGGATCTCTGGTTGGAGAAGGCCCCCGCGAATGGTTGGAGTCTTGCTTCTTGCCCTTGGAAGGTGTTAGAGACTGGACGACGCCCTCTTGGCCCCCCTTCTGTGTGTATTATTACGAGTTTATCATTGCAAACATCGCCACGGCCTTTGGAAAGAAAAAATAAGAAAATAGAGGAAAGGAAGTCTATTCTTCTTTTCTCACATCATCCTCTTTTTTCTTTTTTTCTTTTTCTCTTACTTACATATTTCTTCTTTTCTTGTTCCGTTTGCATGGGAATCTTAGAATAAAAACCAAAACGCTCAACTCACATCTTTTTGGCCCTTAGGCAGAAGGGGACTGGAGGGGATACTTTTTTGTATTTGTATAGACGTTGGGGAGAGAAAAGAGAATCACTGAATTGTATCTCGATGTTCCATATGGTGAAGAACTGTCCTGGACGCATTTATCAACTGGGCTTGGGAGACCATAGGTGCCGAGGCCTCTAGTATTTTCTCAACTATCGATCTCCATCTCAACATGGAGAACTGGGCTTCCGAGATCCCCAAACTCTATAAGCAGCTGGTGGCTGCTGCCCTCCATCTCGACCGGACAGCTCCGTGTCCCGAGCTAGCGCATCCTCTCGGGACTGCCCGAAGCGCTCATTGGATCCATCCCCGTGAAGGAAAGTGCCGTTATCTTCGTGTGTTTATCAATGGGGATCCCTTTTGCGACTGGCACTTCCAACTTTTCTCCACTGCTATCTGCGATTTTTTTAGTTGTTTCAACACTCGTTCTATATCGAGAGGTTGGAAGTATTGACGCCCTTGTAATATCGAGCTGTCGTTGTCCCGCATTTGACAATTGACCCCGCCATCATCGATGAACCCCGCCGCCAGACTAGCTTTCAGTCATCTATCTCCATTTGATGACTTTTGAGCTACAGCAGTTCATACCAGATAAAATCACAAATCCAAAGAGGGGGTGATTCATCCTGGCCCAGGGAGAAGCCCCTCATAGAATACACTCATGGACACTTAAGGTATCGCAGCCCCCCGCCAATTGAAACCCTAAAACCAAGAACCCAATCCAGAGAGTATCTGGATCACCAGCCGAGCTTCGAGGATACCCCCAAGTTCTAGCATCCAAACCCAGACCAAACACAAACACACAATGAGCTCACAGATCGTCCTCACATCAACCCGCGCCGTCCTCGCCCTCCCCGACGACACCCTCCTCCTCACCCCCGCCACAATCACCATCTCCCCACAAACCGGCCTCATTACCTCCATCGTCCCTGCCGTCCTCCCACCCACCTCCTTCCCAGCCGGCACCACCTACATCAACCACTCCCCGCACATCCTCCTCCCAGGCCTCGTCGACGCCCATGTCCACCTCAACGAGCCGGGACGCACAGAATGGGAAGGTTTCGAGACGGGCACGCGTGCGGCCGCGGTTGGCGGCGTCACTACCGTCGTGGACATGCCGCTCAACTCGATACCGCCGACTACGACTGTCGCCGGGCTGAAGGCTAAGGTGGCGGCGGCGAAGGGCCAGTGTTGGGTTGATGTGGGGTTTTATGGGGGCGTTGTTCCGGGGAATGAGGAGGAGTTGATCCCGTTGGTTGATATGGGTGTACGGGGATTCAAGTGTTTCCTGATCGATTCTGGGGTAGACGAATTTCCGGCCGTTACGCCCAAGGACGTTGCTAGTGCTATGCAGGTTCTTAAAGACGCTCCGACTACGTTCATGTTCCACGCTGAAATGGATTGCGGTGCGTCGGAACCTTCTACGCTACCGCCAACTTCCTACAACACCTTCCTCGAATCGCGGCCACCAACCTTCGAAACTACCGCCGTATCCGAGATCCTCAACCTGGCCCACACGGCGCCAAACTTGAACCTTCACATTGTGCATCTTTCCGCCACCGAGTGCATCCCCATGCTCCGCGAGGCCCGCCAAAAGGGCGTGAAAATCACCGCGGAGACGTGCTTCCACTATCTGGGACTGGCGGCTGAAGACATTGAGGACGGTGATACGAGGCACAAGTGCTGTCCTCCGATTCGGACGCAGAAGAATCGGGATACGTTGTGGGAGGAACTGAAGCGGGCGGATTCTTGCATTCGGACTGTTGTTTCGGATCATTCGCCTTGTACGCCTGAGCTGAAGATTCTTCCGGAGAGACTCGGTGGTCGTGGACACGGGGCTGACGAGGAGAAAGAGTCAAAGGCAACCCCTGGCGATTTCATGGCCGCATGGGGCGGCATCTCATCCGTGGGCCTAGGTCTTCCTATCCTACATACAGCAGCCAAGGACCGGGGACTCACCGTCGTCGACATCGTCCGTCTATGTTGCGCGGAAACGGCTAAGCAGGTTGGTCTGTCCAAGCGTAAGGGTAGCCTCCAGGTTGGGCTTGACGCGGATATCTGCGTGTTCGATGACGGTGAGGAGTGGACTCTTACTAAGGGCGAGATGAGATGGAAGAACTCTTGCTCGCCGTGGGAGGGCAAGAAGTTCCGGGGTAAGGTGCAGGAGACATGGGTGCGTGGGCAGAGGGTGTGGGATGGGGAGAAGGTGGTGGGTAAGCCGATTGGAGAGGCCATTCTTGAGAGGAGGGAGAGGTGAATACACTTTAATGTAATTACGATGATGGAAGAAATTCAAGATGCTGGGAAGTATCACGATGATGTCTCTAAGGAGCTATTAATGTGCTCCCCCGGGATGGGTACAAGATCCAACATCAAACAAAGGAGCTGCGAGAACTACGGACACAGTTGGTATCGGTCAACGTGCCGTTCCTGCTTTATCAGTTTCAAATTCTGGACGTCCGACGGTCCATTAAGTCCTTCCCTGGGTCGGTGAGGTCTACGAAGTAGCCAGATACTTGACATGTGCCTGGAACAGGACGGCAGGAGCGTGTCTATGCCGAGAGAGTTATGTGGAGCCTGCGATGCCTACGGCAGGCGCGACAATTGACAGGATGCAAGGGCAGCTGCTGTCTCGGACGCTGTTGATGTTTTGTAACTTTGTATATTTCCATGTTTCAGTTAGGCACAACATGACACTCGGCGGTCTAGATTTCCAGAGCTCTACTACACACTTGGTCTCGGGCTCTTTTACTCCTCCATATCGTGCAATGTATAGCTGCTATTATTTTTAATTTTGCACCGGGGGGGGAGGAAGCACTGATATCGACCTCTAAGCGTCATTGGAGTTCAACGCGACAAGAGATTCTGCTTATCTCTATGAAGAGGGCCTGGCCTCTCAAATATTTTTGTGTTGAGCATCGGCACTAATATTCTTACCGTTACCATCAAACTGTCAGAAAATGCTCTCCGAAAGTCGGCCCCCTTCAACAATTTCGTAGTGAAAGCGCAGGGACCTCGGTGATGCTCCACTCTTCTCCTTCCTATTCTTAATTTTCCCTCCTTACCTACCGCGTCTTCTAACTGGCCAATTCGCGTAATCCACCAGCCTCAACTTTATCGCATTTTCACGTGTCTGCAGGGTGCACGTTCATTCGAAACTTCCGAATCGCACTTTCGAGGGCTCGATACCCCTACTTGCCCCTCCCACCCCTTGCCTTTGTCCAAGGAAACTTTTTTTACTCTAAAGAGAAACACGGGGGCTTGCCACCCTGTTGGTGGTGGCGGTGAGTCTAGGCTGGCGTTTTCATTGCCCCGAATGGAAGGCTTGCTCGGACTTGGACCCACTGGTCCCTGGATTTTGACACACCAGGCTTGACGTTTTTTTTTTTTTTTTTTTTTTTTTTTTTTTTTCCCTTATCAAGGACGGTCAGCTCGATGGCGGGCTTCGGGCGGCTTCCATTATCTCGCGGGCTAATCGATTGGGCGGTGCCGGAGGAAAAATCTTATCGGGCTAGCTGGAGCAGTGGAGAGTACCCCAGGTTTCCCTTAATTTTTTTTTTCTTGGATAAGAAGCCCTGGTCTAGGAACCATTACTTATTTCTTTTTTTTTTTCTTTTGTTTCCCAGTCAACTCACACCTTTTTCTCTCCCCCCCAAATAGCCTCGCTGAACCAATATGATAGTATTCGTCTGCCCTTACTCGCCTCTCAAATTTGCTACTCTCGTGCCATCTTCACGATGAAGATGGAAACTTTGGACCCCCAGCGCCGCCGGCGCTCCTTCGCGTCGACTCTCGCCCACAGGGTGAAGTCGCCGAAGAAAGACAATGCCTACATCCTCCAGATGCCCCCCGAAATTATCGACCTCACCCTCCATTTCCTCCCCGTCGAGTCCGTCATCTCCCTCGCCTTGACGTGCCGAGGCCTCCATGGGAGGTACCGCGATTCCACCAAACGCGTGCTTGATTCCTCCGCCAGGGAGAGTCTCCTCCTCTTGCTCGAAAAGGACGTCGCGGGGCTTTACTACTGCTACCACTGCAGTCAGCTACACACGTGGAATGCGCACCCGCACCAGCAGGAGGAAGGCGTTTGCAACTACGACGCCGGCTGCATGTTTCGCGATAGGCCGGATCCGTGGGTCGTTACGGGGTTCAGTTATAAGCTCAAGTTCCATACGGCGCGCCTCGTGCTGCATAATCGCCTTCGCGGACCTTCGCATGGTCCCGACGTCGAGAGGCTGAACATGGACCACGCCATCACGCACAGTTCACGCAACATTTCCATCAGCGAGTCTTGGCAGGCTAAGATCATCGGCGGCGAGCTTTTTCTCCGCGCTGTCTGGAGCTACCACCAGGGCAAAGGCGGCGCGACGAAATCTCTCGGGCGATGGGTTGAGCACGATGCTGACAGGTTCATCTGCAACCATGTCCGAGGGAGTCGTCTTTTGGAGTTCCCCGGCGCCGAGGGCTTGAATCTGGCGTCGATTGAGAGGATGGCGGGTCCTGTTAGGTCGTGTCCGGTTTGCTACACGGACTTCCAGATGGAGGTTCGCGGCGACGATTGGCATGAGGAGGAAGAGGATGATGATGACAGTGAAACCGAGTCTGAACGCGACAGTGGGGGTTGGACCATCACCGTCACAAAGTGGGTTCGCATGGGCAGCTGCAACTCGCCGTCGGATCCTCACTGGCAGACTCTCGCGAGCAAGACGACCCACGGACTCGAGTGCGAACCGAGGAAGACTATGTGCGAGGCCGGAGAGATTAAGCATATGTGGGCGGATGAGGGCGCGAAGTCTTCTGCTTACCAGGGACTGTTTGTCGAGCCTTCGTGTCTGCAGGTACCTCACCACTAAGGCGCCTGAGCAGACCGAGAAGCCTGCGCCGGTTCAGACATTGGAACTGGCGTGATTCCGCTAAGAGTCAGTTTCGATATCGGAACCTTTTTTTATTTTGGACTTGTGGACTTGGCATGTGATTTTTCCGCCGGCGGGGAGGGGAGGGTTCTTTTTTTCTTTTCACAGACGATTGCATTGGATATGAACGGGATGGATAGATCTTGGAACGCCATCGGGGTCCAGTATTCCCCCGACTCCCAAGGGACGGACGGACCTGCAAGTCAATGGATAGACAAAAACAAAACTGGTGAAGGGTTATAAATAGAGGAGGGATACAAAGAGACGGAATACAAGAGACGGGATAGAACAAAACTAGATCTGGCGGCGTCGGCGTTTGGGACAACATTTAGACAGCATTTAGATTTCTAGGTTAGAGCATTCGAGTTTGGATTTTCTACACACACCTGCTGCCAACGTACCTTGGTGATAATGCATAAAGCCGAGTCGTGGGAGGAGATGTTCGTTCGGGGCGCACCTTCCGTCTGAGAGCGGCGGCTTGCGTAGTATGTGTTATATATGAAGATTTGGCTCTGGATTCCCAACGTCTCATGGAAGCTCAAGTGGTCGAGCGGTGACGCACTGCTTATAAACTACTTCCACAAGGCGCCGGCGTGGAACCCGGTCTAGTCAAATCATGAGACGTGGAGGAAATTGGGTATTGGGAATGGGAATGGGAATGAGAAATTGGGAATTGGAGAGGGAGAAGTGGGAATTCTTTTTTGCTAGATTATATTTTGTTTTACAGGATATTCTTTTCGCTTATGTTCTGAGAGGGAATCTCTTATCTAGGCTCTCTGTTGAAGTTGTGATATTTTGAGGCTGGAGGGTAGAGGTGAGGTGAGGGAGGAGACTTAGAGAGGTTATTGGTTCGAAACCAGTGGTGGACATTTGCGCCGCTTTTTCCCCCTCCTACTCTTGTGCTGGGTTGACCTCCAAGATGATACTGCCCTACCCTTCTGAAGGATTGGAATGGAGAGAATAATGTTGTTTTGAGAAAGCACATTCGAACACAAACATCCGACATGGCAGCCCGTTGTAAGGCGACGGATCCTACAGGCTCTCCTGCTGGCCTCCCAGCTTAGGTCCTTCCTCTCCAAGCCCATCGCAGGCAACAGACTTTGGAAGGAACGTTACACCACTTCACGGATCAAAAATCTCTCCGTCGAGGTAGGTTCCGAACGCACGCCGCCGGAAGGAGGAAGGAAGATGCATTAAATCATACATGTCGAACATGTGGCTTATGCCTGGTTTGTTCTTGGGGTCACACAATGGCCCGGATAGGAAATAATTGGGAAGGAAAGAAGGAAGATGGCTCGGTGAATCCTTTTTTTGGCTTGCGATTTTGAGGGGTTCAAGAGAGGAGAGGAAGGTGCAGACGGAAGGACAACACGCCGAGTACGAAGTCGGATGAAATCAATTCCATCTGTCCGGATCAGCTTCTCTTCCTTGAGGACAATGAGTTCGGGTCCCCGAAGCCTGTGATCATAGATCATCTTCGTTGGATACTACGAAGTGCGAAGTGGTGTACTTCGTACCTCGTCCACAACAACTGGAGCCCGCCCACCTTATTGATCTTTAGTACGCATAATACAAGGAAGAACCCCCCTGGAGCTGGTTGCACCCAGGATCTTGGGACTGTCGGGGACTTACCGAGCAGTCTAGGCAGAAAACAGCTAGGCTTGCGAATTGCTAGTTGGGCAGACGAGCCAGGTCTGTGTTCTATGACGGATGCTGTCTTGCCTGTCCTGTGCACGGTCTGGACTACTCATACACCACAGGAGGTCAAGCCGGGGATGTGCTTCCCCCGTTCATACGAAGTACTTTGTCTAGGAGGGCGATGATTCGAAACCCCTCGTACTGACGAAGCTGAGACTGAAAAGAGTGCCCGGCTCGATTCATCATGACCCTTGTATATTCCGTCCCTCACTGGACAAGTCCCAGCTTGAGGCCTGACGAGTCCGGACCGATGTTGTCATTGTCAATTTAAAGTTGATATTAATACAACGCTGACTAGAAAGTTGAAACACAGCTTCCATCGTTTAAGCGCAAGCGAGCTCCGCTTTAATTTGCGTCTTGGGAAAGTTGGGGTCTTCGACATTGACGAGATTGAGAAGGGGGTGCGTCCCAAATTGCAACTTGCAAATTGTGTGGGTGAGTCCATTATTATCATATATTATTATTATTATCCTTCGAACTGCACTTGGCTACGCGAGATGATACACTGACGTATCACTGCTGCATCCAGACAAACCGACCTCTCATCACACCTGGTTGAAAATCCTCCAATTCTTTTCTTTTCTTTTTGTGGTCTGCCCCACCTCGCTTCGTAACCGATCGAAGAAATTCGTTTCCCTCGCTTCGGTTGCCCACCTGCTGCGGAGATGGGAAGAGGAATCGCCGCCAATCTTCGCCGAGTCCAGAATTGTCCGCACAAAACAGCTGAGTACCAAGTTTAGTACCAAGCTGAGTACCAAGCGGAGGTGTGGGGGTTGGCTGTCCAATCTTGGCGGCAGATAAATTATTCAGGTCCCCGCGACACCAAGCCCATGGCAAGCGAGCCGAGCAAAGACGGCAGGATGCGTGTCCAAATTTCCAAGCCAGCGTCCGAGGACGAGCTAATATTGCCTCTGTCCGCTTCCGTCAACCGAATCGCAATAACAAAGCTAAGCTCCTAATTAAGTGTAAACCCACACATCACCGACTTATTGATGATGCCCGAACCTCGCTTAGCAGCTTGCCCACGGCCGAAAAGGCCTGGCCTCGAACAGAGCTAGTCTCCAAGTGCCAAGTGGCGTTCGCTGATCACCCGGTTCCCTGGTTCACCAGATCCCGGCTGGGCGAATCTGTTAAAATTTCCCACTGATGATGGTGAAATGCCGAAGGCACGAGTAAGTACCTATCCGACGAAATACACAGGTACTAGAAATACTGTTGATGAGCTCGCTACCAAAAGACTCGACTGATGTTGAGTCTGCGCTCTGGGATGCCGTTCCAGATCCCCATCTCTCCACGCACTCACAGGATCAGCCATGGATCCCCAACCCCCCCCCCTCCACTTCGCTTCGCTTCCGCCTCTCCCAAACCACCAAATTTCGCAAACCCTAACCGTCATCCATGCCCACACCACCCTTGGCGCCACCCGACAAAGACATGTTCCGCGGACAAGGGATCTTCAAGCGAGAATCCGTCTGCCAAAAAGGGCTTGTCTCATCTCGCGAGTCATATAGGTCTGCCTCTCCGAAAATCCAAACTTACACTCCTATTGTATGCTAGCTTCGAAAGAACGTTAGTTAGTTGCTACCACACCATGTGGATGTGGGTCCTTCTCCCCATATTTCGTACTCGTACTTTGTTCTCTGCGCCGCTGATCCGATCCCGCATGGGGGTCACTGCCGTGCTTCGCTTCTGTCGTTCTTGGTTCGAGGAGCGAGCCCTTCCAACCGAGCTCTACACACGGAATAATGCCTATATTAAAGGAACACGAGGGATGAGAGGCAACGCTACACATACTTGATAAGCACTCAGGTACTTCGTAGATTGCCAAGTACTGCATAGATCTCAGAATGCAATGGCACTCCCCGTTGCATTCTCGGTTAGTGTAGGGCGGGCGGGGGCATATGTCCCAAGGAAGAAGGTCGTCGGAATTGTGAAGTGGAGGGCTCCCCGGAGCGAGCACTTCCCGGATGGGTCTGTCTGGAAGGGTCCGTCGGTTTAGTTCCCTTGTTCTCTTCCACTACAGGTCGGGCGGTACCGAACATCGCTTATATTGATGATCTCATCACCTTGGCTGCTTTTATTACTCTTTTCCTGACCTGCTCGCCATCTCGACTGCGCAGTTTTTGAATATCCCTTCACCGTAACCTTGTTTCTTTCTTTTTCCATTTCAATATTTCCATAAATTTCGAGAGGAAAAGCCCGCAGCCCCGTTCTAAGGGCACTTTTTGCTAAGCTAACCTCCGCATCACGAATCCTGGCACTCGCAGTCGACGAACCGAAGTGTAAACGGGCATCTTAGTCCTCACTCTTTTCCTTGGAGACCGCATATTCACTCTTAAATCACAGTCTGGACTAACTAATCAAAAAGCCTCCTCAAACCACTCCCGTTTGAGTTTACACTGATATCAGCTCTTCATTGCTCCTCGTCTTTCGATATGGCTACCACTATTTCCTAAGTCCGTCCCATCTCTCGAAGCAGTGTAAATACTCCCCTCGACCACCATTCAGCCAACCACACCCTCCGTATGGAGAGGCCTGCATCTCCCGAGGGCGCCCGGCCCCAAAGCCACTATTCCGCCCTCGAAGCCGAGAAAATGGACCGCCCAAGCTCCGTCGCTACCTCCGCGGACCACCCGGCGCTGCGGGAGCCCACCACCCAGTACCGCCTTTCCATCTCCGGCGCCACTCCCCTCTCCCTTGATGACGTGCAAGCCGTCGATATCCAGATCCGGGATCTCTCCGTCGTCGTTGACACTTCGCCTTCGTGGCTCGAACCGGCCACTTACCCCCAGCTCTTCAAGGAGCGCAGCTTCTTCGGTCCGAAGAAGCCTGGCGACAAAACGTTACTCCATGATGTTAGCGCATCGTTGGCACCGGGGTCGTTGACTGCTATTATCGGGGGGAGCGGCTCTGGGAAGACGACGTTGTTGAATACGCTGGCCGAAAGGATGTCAAGTCCGAGGTTGACGGAGGCGGGAGAAGTGACGTTTAATGGGGTGAAAGGCGTGCATTCAGCGAGGCATGCGTACGTGATGCAACAAGACGTATTACTACCGTCGCTCACTGTTAGGGAGACCTTAGGGTACTCTGCCGATTTGAGGTTGCCCGCTTCCACGACTTCCGATGAGCGGAGAAAGGTCGTCGAGGAGGTTATACTGGAGCTTGGGTTGAAGGAATGCGCCGACACGAGGGTCGGTAGCACGCAGCATAAGGGATGCTCTGGCGGAGAAAAGAGACGGACGAGCATCGGCGTACAGTTACTAGCGAATCCCTCCGTTCTCTTCCTCGACGAGCCGACGACGGGTCTCGACGCCACCAGCGCCTTCCAACTCGTCAAGACGCTGAAGAGCCTGGCGCAAAAGGGCCGCACCGTCATCACCACCATCCACCAGCCGCGATCTGAAATCTGGGACCTCTTCGATAACCTCATCATCTTGACCAAGGGAAGTCCCGTTTACTCGGGCCCCATGAAGGAATGCGCTCCGTGGTTCGAGAGCCAGGGCTTTAAGCTTCCGCCGTTTGTTAACCCTGCCGAGTACTTCATCGACGTTGCCGCGATCGATAACCGGACGCCCGAGCTTGAGGCGGAGACCGTAGAAAGGGTGTCTAGGCTCAAGGCTGCGTGGGTGGAAGAAAGTTGTACGCGGTACGGCCCGAATACTGCTGCGTCAGAGACGGAAGAAAATGCTGGGCACCATAAACGAAAGAGTTCTAAGGCCAAGAGAAAGAAGAAACAACACGCCACATTCTTCAGACAGCTAGCCGTCCTAACCGATCGTACATTCAAAGTCACCTATCGCGACCCGCTGGGCATGCTCGCCGCCACACTGGAAGCCGTCCTCATGGGTATAGTCACAGGCTACATCTTCTACAACCTCGGCAGTGACCAATCCGGCATCCGCTCACGTCAAGGCGCCCTATACACGGCCGCCGGCCTCCAGGGCTACCTGATGCTCATGTTCGAAGTGTACCGGCTCACTATCGACATCCTGACCTTTGACCGCGAGCACAGCGAGGGCTGTGCCGACGTCGTACCCTTCCTGCTGTCCCGCCGCTTCGCTAGGATGTTCACCGAGGACTTGCCCGTACCGTTCCTATTTAGCGTCATTTTCTTCTTCATGGCTGGGTTCGAGAGGGACGCTGAGAAGTTCTTCATCTTTTTTGCCGTTACACTGTTGAATCATTATGTAGCTATGACATGCGCCATGAGTTGTGTTGCAGCTGTGAGGCATTTCCCCGGTGCGAGTTTGATTGCTAATTTGGTGTATACTTTGCAGAGTATGGCTTGTGGGATGTTCATCCAGAGCAATACTATTCCGGTGTACGTGCGATGGCTCAAATGGATCACATATACGGTAAGAATTCCTCTCTCTTTTGACATCCTTGATCTGTTCTAACATTTCCCGACCCAGTTCTATGTCTTCGGTGCGTACTGCGGCAACGAGTTCCAAGGAAACTTCTACGATTGTCCGTTTCCCGGAGGAAGAGAGAACCCCCTCTGCGTGTCGTACACTGGCGAGTACGTTATGGAGTTTCTCGGATTCCCGGAAAACTGGGTAGCCCGACCGATCCTCATCCTAGTCGCATTCATCGTCGCCCTCCTCGCCCTGTCCGCCGTGCTCCTCTACTTCGTCAAGGTGGAGATGACAATTGCGCGTGCCCGAACCTCCGATACCGACCTGTCCGCCGGCAAAGAAAAGATGAAGGCGAGCTCCATCGCCGAGGTCCGCACCATCGACGTCGGCCTCGACAGCTTTGCCCTCGAGCTCGACAAGCGGACTACCTATGGCAAGAAACTGCCACGCAAGACGATCCTGAACCCCGTGACGGCTACGTTCCAGGCTGGGACGCTAAACGTCATCATGGGCCCCTCTGGCAGCGGGAAGACATCTCTGCTAAACGCCATGGCGCTGAGACTGCATAACACTGCCGGCACGAGGTACCTCCCCAGCGGCAAGCTCACGTTCAACTCGGCCGTGCCGTCACGGGCCGTGATCCGTTCCGTTTGCTCCTACGTCTGCCAGGATGACGATGCGCTCCTCCCGTCACTGACGGTCCGCGAAACTCTCCACTTCGCCGCCGGCCTACGTCTTCCTTCCTGGATGAGTAAAGAGGAGAAGAAGCGACGCGCTGAGGACGTCCTGCTCAAAATGGGTCTCAAGGACTGCGCAGACAACCTCGTAGGCAGCGATCTGATAAAGGGCATCTCAGGCGGCGAGAAGCGCCGCGTCTCCATCGCCGTACAGGTGCTCACGGATCCTCGCATCCTGCTCCTTGATGAGCCGACTTCGGGCCTAGACGCCTTCACGGCGAACTCTATCATGGAGGTGCTACAAGGTCTCGCAGCCGAGGGGCGCACGCTGGTTTTGACGATTCACCAGGCCAGGAGCGACTTGTTTACGCATTTCGGGAACCTGTTGCTCTTGGCGAGGGGAGGCGAATGCGTGTATACGGGGAGGGCGGGGGAGATGTTGGGGTATTTTAGGGGGTTTGGGTATGAGTGCCCGAAGCATACGAATCCGGCGGATTTCGTGATGGATCTTATTAGTGTGGATTTGAGGGAGGAGGAGAGGGAGAGGGAGAGTAGGGAGAAGGTGAGGCGTTTGATAGAGGCCTGGAAGAGGAATATTGAGGAGAGTGAGAGGGCTGTAGTGGATGAGGAGGGTGGAAAGAAATTACCAAATATTGAAGAGACAGAAGAAGTCGCAGATGAAAAGAAGGAGGAGAAGGGAATCAAGGCCGAAGGCGATGAGCACAATGACTCGGCCCAGCCTTTACAAGATGGAACTGTCACGGACGGTGATATATCTGAGAAGGCCGAACAATCAGAGCCCAAGAATCTCGCCGAGGAAGACGCCATAACCCCCATCGCCCAAACCGATAGTCACGAAAACAACACCAACCATCTCACAAGAACAGTCTCCTCGATCCCCCGCCGCTCTCTCAACAAAGCCACTCTTGCAACACCCGCCGAACTTGGCGCCCTCGTAACCAAACGCGCCTCCTTCGCCACAGCCCTCCCCATCCTTCTCCACCGCGCCACGATCAACTTCCGACGCCAACCCCAACTCCTAATGGCGCGCACAATGCAAGTCATCGCGCTCGGCGCCGTCTTCGCACTCTTCTTCGCGCCCCTCGACAACGACTTCTACTCGGTCCAAAATCGCATGGGCTTCGTCCAAGAAGTCGGCGCCTTCTACTTCGTCGGCATGCTCCAAAACGTCGCAGTGTACCCCGCCGAGCGCGACGTCTTCTACCGCGAGGACGACGACGGCGTTTATGGTGTTGACGCCTTCATGGCACAGTATACGATCCTCGAGGTCCCCTTCGAAATCCTCAGTTGTCTCGTCTTCGGGGTGCTCGCCGACCTCGCCGTCGGATTGCCGCGCACAGCTGAGATGTACTTCATCGCGACGTTTTCGTGCTTCGGTATCGTCTCGTGCGGCGAGAGTCTGGGTATCATGTTCAACACGCTGTTCTCCTCGCACACGGGCTTCGCCGTCACGCTTACGTCCGTCGTGCTCTCAATCGCAAACGCTATGGCCGGCGTCCTATCTACCAATATGCCGGCTTTGCTTAATGCGATGAACTACCTTTCCCCCGTGCGTTACGCCACGAGGGCGCTTGCGCCGTTTTCGCTGAAGGGGGTGGAGTTTGTTTGTGATGAGGCGCATATGCTGGGTGGGAAGTGTATTATCGAGACCGGGGAGGACGTGCTTGAGTTATATCGGTTGGATGTCGATCCGGTGGTGAATGTGGTGGCGTTGGCGGCTTGTGTGGTTGTTTATAGGGTTTTGGCGTGGGGCTTGTTGAGGGCTGTTAGGGGGCGGTGGAGGGGGAGGAAGGTGAAGGAGGAGAAGAGGAAGTAGAGCGGTATTGCTTGATTGTTTTGTTTTGTCCTTTTCTGCTCTGGTTCTTGACTATAGGTAGGAAGGGACGCCTGATCTCATGAGGCATAGGGATAGAGGGATGGTTCTTCAAAGCATGGAGTTTGGGCTTATAGAAGAAGGCGGTTCCTTAGGCCTTTTGTGCAGGACATTTGATGTACATGAATGGAAAACTTGTCATGAATAGTTAAAATAAAGATGTTAAGAAGCCTCATTTTGCTGCCCATCTCTCCGAACTTGTTGGTGAAAGTTGAGCTTATAGCATAAAGAGAAATTCACTCCGGCGACAACGGAGCAAACCCGGTCCCACTTTCGGACCCGGCACGGAAGCCACACCGACACCTCCGTCCATCCCAACATCCGCCCCTCAACATCGTGAGATCTGCCAACTTCTTCTGCTTGGGATTAGTCGCTAAACCCTATGGAGAAGAATAAAAACTCTCCTCATCCTCTGTTTTGATTTCTGTTTTCTTCCCTCTTCCAAACCTCAAACCGCGAACTTAATCGATTCCTTATCTCGACATCCGCATTCCTTCATCTTCTTCGTTTGTGTTCCATCTCTGTATCTTCCTCGGAAAGATTGTCGATATACCAAGTCGCCGGAAGCTCTTTTTTGTGGTTTTAGACTTCTGGTTCGGTGAGTGTTTTCTGTTCTCGTCTGGACGCGCTTTCTGTTGTGGCATGGCGATGGTCTATCTTGCTTTCTAGAACTTGTTTCTAGCTTTTCCCTGAGAGTCTGTCTACTTTTGTCGCGTCTGGAGTCGACGCCCTGCCTTATTTCGAGCTTCTGCGGCCAAAGTTGGCCCTTGACGCGCCTCGTAGCCCCTTCCCCTTGACCTAGCAGTCAGCTTTTTTCTCTCTTCTCCTCCCGGTGCTTTCTTTTCCCTTTTCACACAGTCCATCCATTCCCAAGATATCGTTCTGTCTTCGACCAATCCTTCAGTCTGATAGTTCAGAGCTATCGTTTCCTCATCCTGTACACCACCATCACTATAGACGTTCGCCTCCATACTTCTCTGCCTGTCTCCATCTTCTCTCCTCGTCATACTACCCACTGCACTTCCACGAAGCCCCCTACTTCATCCTTTACTATAGGCGACATCAACCGAAAGCTCACTTGCTAATCGAAGCATCACCAGATACACACTCAAACTTCCATCTCGATCTCAAGGAACGTTCACCAGCACCCGCAGAAAGCCAATAGGCCTCATAACGCGGGCTCGAGGTGAAAAAGCAACCCTGAACGATTCAAAGATGCATCCTTACATCCCACCGGTCTACCCGGCGTATAGCTACTACGCACCCCCTCCCACGGACTTCATCCCCCCTCCCGGTCCTCACCCTCCTCACCCTCCCTATCCTCCCTTCGCTGGACAAGGCACGCACCCCCAAGCCCCCCGAGCCTCGCAATATATGCCCCCGCCCGGCTTCAACGGACCAACCTCTGCCTTTTTCCACTCCCATTCGGCTCGCCTCACATCTCCCTGGCCCGTTTACAATGGCCCCCCTCACCCCGGTGGGGGTCCCGTCCCCCCCAACTTCGGAGGCCATCCTGGCATGGGCCATCATCATTATGGCCAGCATGGTATGCATGTTCCTCATCCCATGGGACCACATCCTCAGATGCGAGGCCCTGCGCCGCATGTTCACTATTCGGTTCACGCGTACCAGGGCGCTTATACTCGTCCTGGCTATTCTGGTGTGGCTCCCCCTGGTGGCCCGCCGCCTCCTTATTCGCCCCCTGGTGTAGGCCATTGGGGTCCTGTGCCTCCGGGAAGAGGTGTTCCTGTGCATCAGGCTCCGAATCCGGGGTTTGGAATGCATCATCAGCATGGTCCAGTCCCTCATGGACCGTATCAGCCGAATGGAATGCCAATTCATCAAGGTTACGTTCCTAATCAGCAGGGTCGGCCGGGCCAGTCGGGTCCTTATCCCGCCAACGCTATGCCAGCTCATCATCATGGGGCCGGTTTGCATCACGGACCTGGCCCGCAGAATGGTCGTGAACCTCACGATAACCCAGCTCCTGGCTATAGTCCTCCTCCGTACGACGGTCAATCGGGTCAGCCTGGTCCACAGCAGGAAAATGACATTCCGGTTCATGATAATAACGGTCCTCATCAAGATCCATCGACCAAACCTAGTTCGCAGCAAGCCACAGGTACGTCTTCACATCATGATAGCGGTTCTCATGATGGACCCTCGCATCAACCTGGCTCGCGCCCGTCTACCCCCCTGCGACCCCCTCCTGCACCCCTTCCCCGGCATCGTAGCCTCCCCAACCAGGGAACTGGAAATCCTGGCAATCCCAATGGACCCCAGGGCAGGCCTACCGGCTCGGGTCAGCCCCCTAGTGCCCCCGGAGACGTCTCCATCATGTGTCGTGAGCCTGGTGTCCAGCAACGACCCTCGAACCGAGTAATCATCGCCCACGGTTCGAAGCCGCTACCCAGCACTCCTCCCGTCGTCGGCGGTGCTGGACCAAACCCTGCCAAGCGAATCAGCAATGAGAACCCGTTCGCCCGGGCCGACTCCGACCGCGGCGACTCCACCGCTGCCCGCGCTTCTCGAGCCAACGAGAATATCGCTTCTCGCCGAAACGGGAACGTCGCATCCGGCCTAAGTGAGTCCTCCCGTGCCGCCATTTCTCGAGCCAACGAGAATATCGCTTCTCGCCCGAATGAGAACGCCACGTCTCGCCGAAATGAAAATGTCGCCTCTCGAGCAAACGCGGGTGCCGCTCCTCGCCGAAACGAGAACGTTCCCAACAGCCGTCTCGGACCGGTGGTCTAGGAAAACCGTCCGCAGACGCCTGCTTCTGCCCCGGGCAGATTCTCCATGCGGCCTCCCCGAGCGTACCAGGGCTCAATCCACCTGGGCGGCAAGATAATCAGCAAGTCATTCCTCCGCCCGAGGCTTTTCGCCATTCGTAGGTCTGGAGAGAAGCTTGTAAGTTACTTTCTCACACACACTTTTTGTTTTTCTTTCTCTTCTTTGAACTTGAGTGTGTTGTTGATCTCGGAGCGCTAACTTCATCGTACCAGTACAACCCCGACGGCTCGGAAATCCGCCCCCGGTGGCCAAAGCGCAAGGATCCTGAGGACAAATACACTCGGACTGAGTCGGCGGAGAGCGAGACCCCACGACTTCCCAGGGATGAGGCTGGCAGTAGCAGGTTCGCTTCGGCGCCTGGTCCTCAGGTAATTCCCGAGCATCTCCAGGAGCCGTCGGATTTCGCCTTCGATGGCATTGCTCCTCACACCCCGAGCGAGATGTCGGCACTCCGAGTCCCTCGTCCCGGTAACCCCGTCGCCAAGACTCTCGAGTCCGCGCCGACCCGTGACAATGAGGTCCCCATGCAAGAGACATCCACCGCCGGCAAGCAACCTATTCGCCGCTCTGATCGAGTCTAGTCTCCCAAGTCCGAGGACGAAAGGGTCGATGGAATCTTCGGCGGTGCCAAGCGCCAGCGCGAGCGGGAGCGCGGCATGTTCGGAGTCTTCAAGTACGGGCCGAGCAAGAACAATCAGGGAAATCCCCCCACCCCGACCCCTCAGAAGCGATTCAAGAGCGAGCCGATCTCGTCGGGCTCGAAGCGCTCCCTCTCTAAGGAGCATGCGTCTGGCAAGTTTGATGATATTAGCCCCCGGCTGAGGGAGTTGTTTAAGCGTAAGCAGAGCAAGGATGAGGAGAGTGACGGTCTTTCCACCACGCCTTCGAAGAAGCCTCGTCGTATCGGTCTGTTCAGTCGTTTCATGTCTCAGCCGTCGGGAATTTTGCCCCCATCCCCCATCGAGAAGCTTGTTGAGAGTCCTCGAGGTGCGCAGCCTGTCGCTACACCTCGTCGTCAGACTGCCCCCGCTGGAAGCGCGACGGCCGCCACGCCTCGATCGATCAAGGTGGAGCGCCCAGAGTCTGAGAAGGACGAGCAGGAGAGGATTCCGTTTTTGAAACTTCCGTATGCTGATTCGAACGATGACGATGGCTTTACGCCCGTCAACCCCCCTGGCATGTGGAAAAACAAGGGTAAGTACTTGCACATTATCGAATCCCCATGCGCAACAGGTTTACCTGCTAACTTGTGACCTCTAATCTCCCTTGGTCCGAACTAGGTCGAAACAATCCCTTCGCTCGGAAGGATCATTAAGATATTATGCCAATCAAGTCACTGTCACCGATGACCTGGTGACCCATCCGGAAAGAGAGCCAAAGCGAGTACGGACTAGAGGAAGGCTTCTTCTAACTCTTGCCGGAATCGGGGTCTACTCTCTTTGTATTATAGGGTCGACAGGAGCGCTAAGATGAAGCTCGTTATGTTCAAGTTTATGTCTGCAAGCCCGCGACGTTTTTTTGGAACTTTGTTACACTCTCCACTCACTCTCAGATTGTCAATACGAATCAGCGCGAGGCTAATGTTTCTAAATATCTGCACCTTTCTCCTTTCCAATGTGTCGTGCTCCAGCGACCTGTGATCTATCAAATGTCTCCCCGGAAAGCAAAAACACACTCCTGCTGTCCTAGACCGGCACTAGCTAATCACAGACATCCCCAGTCTAGTATTGAACTTCTTTCCTTCTTGTCCAACAGCAGACCTCTCTTCGATACTTCTCCTAAAAACGTTTTGGGGCTGCTTATATCTCACCAAAGCTGCCTCTCCATGCACTGTCTTCGTCGAGAGGAGCACCCCAGGTTCTTTCTTCCCCTTTCAGCATAGTTTCGAGGGTTCGTTACTCTCATCACTCGTCACGATTCTCTATTTGGAGTTTGTATGGCGATCCCCAAAATCACCAACTCTTCGGGCGCCTTCAACCTGACATCGTTTTCGACACATCCTGCCATAAATTCCGTACTCCAAAGGGAAAGCAACGAAGAAGAAACGGCCATCATGATACCCGAATATTCCTTTTCCCGCTTCCCAGGCCACAAAACCATACCTATTGTCTTAGATCCATATCCCTGGACGAGAGTTGACAGCAACAGCGATTATATAATTGTTTCAAGAATGATGTTGCTTCCGGTCCCCCTCACAGCGAACAGAGTCACGAACTCCATCATGATCCAGGATGCTTCTAGAAGTTCTCTATCAAATATTATTTGAATGTTACAGGCAACTGGGACTAAACTGGGGATAGAACTGTCGGAACTTGTTTTGTTTCCTGGAGATCGCCGAGTCTTTATTAGTAGTTGCTTAGCATTGATAGAGATGGCAAGTAATTTGTCTCTAGATTCTTGACCTTGCTGCTTCTTGGCACCAGATACTAGCCAGGACCGTGGAAGCTCCAAGTATTGAGAGAACTCTCTTGCAACGGGAATATCCACTCTGCGCTCCATGTCAACTAAGAGATCTGGGCTTCTCCACTCGAAGATGAGTCCTATATCGTCGAGGTAACACAACGCTTGGGACACACCCCTGACACCGTGCCCAGATCCGCAGATCCCATTGCCAACTGGCGGGAATGTACCAAGAACCACCGCGTCCTACTCGACTGTATTCCACACATCTTCCTCCGTGATTCGGAGCAAGTTGGAGAACGCGCCGGTTTGATTCTCAGGTCGGGTGTTGGGTGGGGGAGAATGGGCATGGGCCATATATAACCCCTGAAATATTTTATACGGAGATCGACGCCACTTAGCGAACCGGGGTCCGCGGTTGTGTTGGTGGACGGGCTTTGGAGATCCACCGTGATATAGGGGGTAAAGTTATAGTTAAAGCTCTTAGGAAATGGGCGAAATATCATTGATATATCGCGAGGATAGAGTTAGCGACAGCGAGATCACCGAAGCGCGAGTGTCACGTTCACAATAACCCCTGCCAAGCCCCAATTTCGTCGCGCGTCCGTCCTCTCATCCCAAAACCTAGATGCAGCCGATACCGTCTCTCGATATCAGACCCGTCAACCTGGTCTTGTTAAGAGCACGTTCTATAGATACCAACAGCACTCCATTGACCCTGGCGATGAAAAATCATCCAAAGAAACGCGCTCAAGTCAGCGAGCGACGCGCGTCTTCATATATCTGACGTGCGTTTATAGTTGAGGCCAGCTCCGCGTGCACCTTGTGTTGCAGTACGAGTTGCAAGCGATCCCAATCATGAGTAAAACTCCACAGGGGGCCGTCCTGTCCCCCCCCCCCCCACAGGTCCGCACGTTGGTGGGGGGAGGGCGGGGGTAGCGGGCTCGGGGACTTACAGGCAGTGCGTAACGTTCGGAAAAGTACCAGTCAAGCTCACAAGTACCCTCCGTCCTACCACAAAGAACCCGTTTCGTAAGGCCTCGCGAGGTTGAGACTTCGATCCCCCTCACCTGCCCGAAAGTTTCAAGCGTAGAACGTATCGGAACGCCTGGAGAGACTTGATCAGGAATGGCGGTGTGCCATACCTTTATGTGCGCTACGTAATCTCCCTCGTCGAGATCTAGGGAATCTACCTCGTTGAACCACTGCCCGACGTATCTATCCTGCAGAGGGTTCTCGTATTGAAATAGGAGACCGGATACGGAATCGGGAGGGCGCGAGCGACCCTCGGCGCCGGAGGAGAACTTGATACGCCGGACATCTCGAGTTGTAGCGCCAGTGACGCATGAATTAGTGACGGCCAGATACCGTGTCTCGAACAGGTTCTCCTGCGTGACAGGAATTGCGGCGGAGTGAGGTAGAGAAAGCGGAACTGCAGTAGCAGAAGCAAAGGCTGGCTCGGTTACGGCCAAGGTTGCGGGGACCGGGTCTTGGGGACAGACGACTGCTATTGCCGTTAATTCTCCGTCGAATCCCTTGATCTCTGTCAGGAAGCCTATCAAAGGCTTGTCGGAAGTAAACTGGAATGTCGCAAAGGTCTCAAACTGGGAGGGAAACTCAATAGCTTCCATATCTTGATGAGGCATGGCAAATACACACTGCGCCGAGGCATTTGTCGTTAACTAAGTTTAGAAACCAGGGTAAGTGTCACAGGGTCAAATAGAGTGAGGACAATGAACATCTCTGTACCTTAAAACCTCGAAGACTGGGTGCCTGCTCGCCTGTCGGAACCCAGCCAAGGCATTGTACCTCCGTTATGCGTTCTCCAAGCCTGCTGTTTATCGAAAACGATATCTCCGTACATCCCCTCTGATTATCAGCAGTAGCCGTGATGCTTCGTGAGCCATAGAAAACTTCGCTGCCATCGTCGTATGCAAAGCCGAAGCCAACGGGGAGGCGTTCGAAGGGGCAGAACTGGACCACTATCCGATTGGGCTGGGCAAGTTTTTCTCCCTTTGGTCCGCCGAAGTTCATATTTAGACGGACGACTGAGCCCAAACAAAGAGGTTCCGCTTGATGTTTGTGGATAAATTAATTCCGCGTGGTTGCTTAGGGGAAGCTCTGGTTTCCACATAATTGCCTTCGTGTGTGGCGTCGTCCAGTCTCCTGAGCCAGGGTATTCGGTAGAATACTGAACCAGTCCAAGACAAATGCATTTGTAGACCTAGTCGAGGAAAGGTTAGCGAGTAGGCATAGGTCGCGAGGAGGACAGGAGAATGTGAGCCCATACATTGACAGCAAAGGAAAAGCCCCGGATACACCATGATACATCAGGAACTAGCTCCCCAACTGCAGCACCTGGATTAGATGCGACCGAACCCCCAAGCAGCCTAACTTCCTGTCCATTGGAGCATGTGTCGATGTGAAACTCGACTCCCACTATTCCATCTTCGAGACTGTATACTCTGACGGATTGGATAACTTCGCCTGGCCCCAGATCAAGATGTTCCTCTGACGGTGGAATAATAAGGCCCACTTGACTAGAGCTAAGAGCCTGGACATCCCCTTGACCTTTATAGCCCTGGAGACGTATCCCGGAAAGGTAGTTCCTGCAATTGAAGTTGATGAAAGACAAAGACAGGCGAACAGGCGAGTTCTCGGGGAAAATAACATGTTGGTCAGGGTCTAAGTGGGCGACATGACTTTGCACAAAGGCTCCATTCTGGTAGCCCTCTGGGAGGGGAATTTCCACGGTGAGAGGAGTTTCAGGGGTAGTGGTGGTCCAGTACTCCATGAGAGGAATCAGCGAGACACACAGATGGTGAAAGACCTTCCAGATGTTAGCCAGCCCGCCATTTCTGCATTCTTGGAGAAGCCGATACAACTTGTACCAGTCTAGATCCATCCCGGACACAACGTGGCGCTGCCCCGCTAGGAAGTAATCCATCTCTCGACCGGGGGCAAAACGACTCTTCCAGAATGGCCGGGAAAGAGATGCAGGAGAAGAGATTGCGGCGGCTGCTCTGGACGCAAGGCGAAGACTACAAAAGTCTGCAGACGGCAACAGAATAAAAATGGTCTCGAGGATTTCGACGGGGAAACATCCAAAGGGATCCCGGGCTGCGTGCATGCCACCGGCGGGCTTTATTATTGCTTTCGTTGACTGCGGTAGATCTACTGCCATACTTTGAGATGCGGTGACGAACTTTGTTATATCCTGGACCGGACTAACTAGGAGAAAAAGGTACTCTCCAGCAAGGTCAAAGTTGTTGCGGGACGCCAACGCGCCGCCGTAGCCGAATCGGGTCAGTAGGTCACCCTTTGAATCACAGGGAAAGCAACTCAGAAGAACGCGGAGGCATTCGGCCACACGATTAGGTTGGTAGGTCTTTGCCGTATCCTCACCGGCCAGACGAGCGAGCAGTAAAGTCCAGCATACGTCATGAATAATGGCCGCAGACGGCCTCTGTGGCGCCTGGGGAAGCTCATCTATGATGACGGAGTCGGGGTTGGCCTTGAGGTATGTGGCCGAAGGATCAGAACTGACCCAGAAGTTGGTCGTACTGATAAGACCAACCCCAGATATAGATGGCGGTGGGCCGGGGAGGACTGCATGGAGTTGGGATACCTGTAAGCAAGCGCGAAATTCTAATGTTCGGTAGCAGACTCTTCTAGCCTCCGTCACATACCTGTCCGCATTTCGCACATCCATGGTCCCTTGCCTGTTATGGGCAAAGGTTCACTACAGCAATAGATCTCAACTCCACATAGCGGACAGTAGACGCGAGTCATCGTAAACTTGGTTTAAGCACGAGAAACCACTTTCTTTGGCCTGCTGCTACAGAGTCGGAAATGTACGAAGCAGTGTTGAGGGAAGCTGGAGAAGAAGCATTTCAACTTTGATGAGCCCCCTCAAAGCTGCGAGGTTGGAAGGTTGGAAGGAATAGGCAGGCGCAGGATGTCGTTAACGCCTGATCCTTTAGGCTACGAAGTTGCGTAAGAACGGGGGAACTCGAAACATCTTCAACGAGGTTCTTACTTTACCTAGGTATCTTTATCATAATTAAAAACATGCTCGCGGATTTCAGAGTTTATGAAGGGAAATCGAAGATATCTACGCAAAGGGTGGCAGTCTCTCGCAGTGTGTGCCAGTGCTAGGCCAGCCTTCTCTCTGAGTATGGTCTTCGAGGTTTTTGACCTCTCCAGAGATCGCAGAACATGGGAATCTGCGGTGTGGCAGGGGAAGGGAAAAAAAAATCCGTTCTGGAGCAAATAAATCACCATCACCATCACCACCACCGTCATGGTGGTCCCCCCCCCGGAGGTTGGCCCCAAGAGAATTCGTCGCTAGCTGGTGTTAGTTTATCCTAATGAACTTTCCCAAGAAAGTGGACAAGGCTTGACATGTCCAGACGCGAAAACAAGCGTAAATGGTCTCGGTCATGTCCTCACTTGGTTGAAGTGAAAAAGTCCCAAAGTGGACTGCGCGTAAATGCCGTATCCCCCAAGTGGTGAACTCGAGAATGCGGTCCGATCGCCACGACGATATGGATGATGGTTCCGGAGTGTAAGCAGCCAGAAGTCCCTCCCAGCCATGCGTACGGAAAAAGCTCTGCGTTTCACGTAGCCTCTCTGTAGGAGGGGCGGATGTGAGGAACAGTCATATCTCATTTTTGCATGTTCCCCTGTAAAACCGAGTCCGGTGAAATATGACGAAATATTCAGCCGCCAAGATTCCTCGGGGTTTCTCCCGTATCAAACAAGGCTTGGGGCTCAGGCTAACGTCGGAGCATACCGGCCTTTGTACGCCATGCGGTCTCTTCACCAAGCTGAGAATCTCCCCATGGGCCAAAAATCAGTTAGTTCAGCGGATGTCGGGGAATATAGCGGTGCTAAAGAGAGGGAGATAGTCTTAGACTCAGATAGAGGTGGTCTTGTTCAGCAATGGATCTCTCGCCGGGTATACTCGGTTCCGGGATTGTGGGTGAAGTGAGTGTTATACTTCGTCCTTTGCTTCAGGCGGTTCCACACAAGCAGGCCTATCTCAGGAGAGCTCCACCGCGTGTTCGTCGACGTGGGGTTCTAAAACAAGAGATTTGTTGTTGATGATTGGGCGGAATGATTGTCTAATAGCACTCCTGATCCTTCGGAAAGGGGGCCATGGCACGGGGGTAATCTTCTCCCTCTTAGACGGGCGTTGTTGGCCGTTTTTGAGGCAAGTCGGGTCCCATCTCGACTCTCCGAGAATAACCCTTCGAAAAAAAGTAATATGAGGTGCACCTCCTCACCCCACATCCCGTGCTTGTCTCCATACGAGGCGGTGAGAGTAGACATATGCGGGCCCCGCCTTCTTTTCCTTGCTTTTTAGCGCTGAGGATTGAGGAGCGCGACGGAGTGTGGTGGAGGTGATAATGGCGCGACAGCTCTGGCCATGGATGGTCCTTGTAACCTCGGCCAAGTGTTTGTTATCCTGACCAACAGCGGTTGATCTTCTCGGCTATGGTTTTGTTTGGCACATTTGTGATGTCGGCTTCGATCCAACAGCCTCACCATGCACCATGCGGCGCCATGCACTAATAGCTCCGCTGCCGTATTTCCCACCTAGTGTGGTCTTAATCTCAGTGTGTATGCCGTCAAGGGAAGGGTTCATTAGCCGAAATATTTGCTTCTTATTTCTGTTCCTCTTTTTATTCTCATTTTTTTATTTATTTCATTTTTTTCGAGATGTCAAACTTGAGCGGAGTCACACAAAGTGTAACCGAAACCGACCCAACCAACGCACTCCCAAAGAGGGATCGGATCGGCGCCATCTCCGTAGTCTTCCCGTCGAAAAGGCCGGGCGCAGCCAGTTCGGTCAAGTGGAGGCCCCGCAGAAGGAACGAGTGCCACGTCAATCAAAGGGTTGCCATGTCGAACAGTTTTGTGCCATCACAATGGAGGATCAGCAAGAGTTAGCCAGCCCCCACTCTAAACGGGCGAAGGTCCGAGATCATGACTTGCCTTTGGCTCGATAGCTAAGAATCTCGGGAGCTAAATCTTTCCACGAGTAGCATAGAAACTGTACAAGAGCATTCCGAGACTTGGGATTGGAAGGGCTTCAAACAGTGTATTGATTGTCTGATACTCCGCCGCGTGGCTGGCTCAAGCCCATATCCACAGACACGACGTCTTAGTGTTTGGCCGAGGTCTGAGGGCGTTGAGGGCCGCCAATGTACGGCCACCTCAGACGCTGTGATCGTCCAAGACACCAGCGAGCACAGAATGACAGAGGACTGAAGAAAAAGTGACAGAATTCCGAGGAGCGACACGGCTAACGTCGTCCAACGCGACAGCTCAACTATTGAATAAGGTTAACAAAGCGTATTCTAATCTGGCCAGGATTGCGGCTTTCATGACCCTTTCAGAGACTTGACATATCAAATATCGATAATGTAGAACAGGCCGTGGGAGACAGCCATGCCATGCGGCTGCGAGCGGCGTAATCATCGAGCCAAAACTCCAGAGGTGAGGAATGCAGATGGGAAATCTGTCGGAACATCTGCGTTGGAAAACTGCATCCTCTCCCGTGCCTCGAAGCACGCGAGACATTGTCTCGAGGATAGGATTGACGGAGCGCGACGAAGAATGCGGCACAATCTGTCGGGGCTCGAGGGCGCGGCCGAGATGGGCCGGCATCAGAAGCGAAAATTATCACGATTGTTTAGTTTTTAGATCATATCAAAAAATGGAAAGGAAGGGGAAAAAATTGGAGAAAAAAGAAGAGTCAAAAAGTGTGAGTGAGTGGTACATCGGAAGCGTGTACGAAGGATTGATAAGACATAACACGCATCCTTTCATCTCGTCTCCAAACTAATATATTTTCATCCCAACATCGCACTGCAAAGAAAAAGTACTCCACTCCACCCTCTCGGAACCACAGAAAATACAACTTATACAAGCAAAAATAAAACCCAGGGATTAGAATCCTTCCCCAAGCTGCTGGGTCTCACTTTCCCCAGAATTTGCTTTTTTTAGTTCAAAAGAGCCGGTGGTGG